GACTTAAGACGTTCTGACATGAGTTTAAAATGTTCTTTATTAAAAACTAGCGGCCCGCCCTCGCTTCGCTTCGGTGTAGTTTTTGTTCAAAGGCTTGTATTATACAGTCACAGTACAGTTTGTTGCGTAATTTAGGACCCGTCGTACCGAATTCACCAAAGCTCTGCTGTTCCGATTTTAAAAAAACTTTTTGCTTTAGATACTGCATTTATCGAGGAAGGCTTAGGCTATATAACATCAGGCTATGACAAGTAGCAGCGGAGCATCGATGAAAAATGTTGCAAAAACAGGTAAAAATATTCCATTTGTGAGATTCTGTTGCGTGCGCTAGGTAAACGGTTAAAGTTACACAAAAATCATATGTAACGGAATTGTTCCTCTTTAATAGTTATATAAAAAAGACCGTGACAGCATTTGTTCATCTTTTAAGATTGAATCACTGAAAAGGTAGGTAGGTAACCTACATTTTGCCTCAACTTAACGCGGGTGTAACCACAGGGGCCTCTAGTTGTGACATAACTGTTATAGTTAGACATATGGTATTGCGGACTTTTTTGTAGATATTGACTTTTGTACATCACTTTGCTCTATTGTCAATGACTTCCGCAGCGTACGCGACATAAGGTTATTTTTTGATATTTTTTACATACCCTGGGTTACGTTATTGAAGTTTTCGGAACCCTAACTTTTTTGAAAATACTATGTAGTCTATGTTCATCAAGGATAATGTAGAATTCTAAACGGGAAAGAATTTTTCAAATCGGTCCAGTAGTTTCGGAGCCTATTCAATACAAACAAATCTATCCTCTTTATAATATGAGTATAGTATAGGTGAATATTTCTCAGAAATAACAAGAAGTGGTTCTACTAGTTGGAACTAATTAACGGAAGGAACAAATTATATTCGGTCCGTGCTCTTAACTTTTAATATACGATTTCCTTCTTCGAAGCATACTGTATTTAGATGCAATTTGTGAAGTACTGCGAGTCTCTTAGTAAGAAGGTTCCACCTACGCTTCTTAGAGAACGCGTTTACCTCTCTAGTGTCGTTCTTGATAATTAGAGGACCACAATCTTCGACTCTAATTGACAAGATACTTACAAGTATCTTTTTTCTCATACCTACATCATTCTTTATCAATGACAATATATTGATTCTTTTGTTTTGTTTTTGAAATCATTCATACATACACGTTACTACGTGTAATAAATATATTAGGGTATAGTGATTATATAAAAACTGGATATTTTTACTTCCGTTGCGTATATAAGTAAAAAGGAAAATAAAAATTATGTTTTCAAATATGCCGCGGAAACCTTTTTCTAGCAAATATAAATATTTCCAATACTCACACCAATTAGCCTAGCCCCAAAGTAAGCACTGTAAGGCTTGGGTTATGGGATACTAGGGTAACGGATACAATACATATAAAGTACATGTATAAGTATATTTATATATAAATACATATTAAACATCCATGCCTGGAGTACAAATGCTCGTATTCATCACACAAACATCTGCCCCCAACCGGGATTTGAACCCGGGACCTCTTGAGTCGGCGACATCTTGCGTACAAACCACTCGGCCACGGAGGTCGTCAAACAAATATGGCGTGTTTACAGGCAAGTAACGTCACACTGCTGTCATCAAAACATCAAACAGTACAAAGAAATGTCACTTCAACACCATGTTTACAATCCGCAAATCCTAGGCGTTTTCGGTCATATGGACAAAATACTTTTATCATAATTTTTAGTTAATATTGCTAGAGTCTGTGCGGAAAGAGAATGGGATTTAGATTGGAGGGCGCTGTAGTGCTTTTCTACCGTATTTGTAAGGTTTTACCCCTTTTAGACATGATTTAATAGAAAAAACCGCAAGAAATCACAACAACAAACAAATCCGTATCAATACAAAACTTTTGCGTTTTACAGATTGCTAGGTTTGATTGCCAAATAAAAATCTTAATGTTAGTTCCGTTTTTCGCCACGCCCATTCTATTTCCGCACAGTCTCTAACAACTCCTTTTTTCCGAGATAGTGAAATCACCCACAATATTAATGTTAAATAAACATGCTAATAATTAGTACTTTATTTTTCATAGTTTCAAATAGCCTATTATGATTACTACATTAATCTTCCTATAAATCAAAGCTTGTCTAAATTGTTAAAAGGCCCTCGTTCATACAATTTGTATTGTGAAATAGAATCGCAAATAGCTTATTTTAATATATTTCAACGAACAGAGCCGTTTATTTTGTATTTCCTGGTTGGCAAGAGCACGAAAAGTCACGTTTCCAATCCCGCTGCTCATTGGAGCAATGGATGGGAAAACAGGGATGAAACCCTTTAATAAAATAAGCACGTATTCATGAGGTTAGCTGCCCATACAATTTAATACGTCATGTTTATATTTCTTAACATCGGTATTGAGGTCTTCTGAGGAATATGAACAGTGTGAATTATTTTTATTGTGTGTTTAAATTATATTTTAAGACAGAATAACACCCGTATTAAAATTTAGGATATATTTTGAATGTCTGGTATTATTAAAGTGAATTTAATATGCCAGCTTATCGCCTACAATAGTTTTCGAAGCTATTATGTGTCTTCAAAAACCGTTTGTTTCTATTTATCGCGCTTATTTACTTATTAATTCTTAAAGTATGGTAGGCTATTGATCAAACAGTTAGATGTGATAAAAATGGCGCCTTTCTCAGCGGGTCGATCGGTGCAGGCTCATTTCGTTTTTGTACCCAATCTTTACAGATTAATTACCGAGTGCCTATAATTATATAAGATATTCCTCACTGATTACTTTCGGTGCAGAATCCTTACCAAACGGATACATAGGTCTCTGTACCGACCGAGTCACTTCCGCAAACAAAACGAAACGATACCGCACGGAATCCGATCCGGTCAAGAAGTGGTTCTCGGTAAAGCATATGTACAGATTCAGTACAGAAACGAGACCACACCGACCCGTTGATAAGTCGTCTAAATATGTGGGTAAACTAATTACTAACAATACAAAATCTACGAATGAAATCATGAAATGAAAGCAGAAGCATTAAAATCGGTAATATGCTAAAAGATTTACGTGACGGGATGATAACAGCGCCACCTAATGGAAATATCCCCAGAACTTGAGAGTGGGTGTGAATTTTCTTTTGTTCCAGCGGCGACGTCACGCGCTAAAGCATTTTATTATCCTTTCCTCGGCTGGTTACGCGCGCGTGGTCTGTGGGTATCGCAGTTTCCTCTCCAAAGAAGAACGTACCGAGAACATTAAGTGCATTCATGAATCCCATCTGTTTTTTATTAACAATTTTTATTTTAGAAAATCTTTGCTAGATTTCTATAGATTTTACACAAATATAATTCAAGTCAAAATATGCAGCTGATAAATTTAAAGGATACAATCGATGTTTTAACAATTTACTAACTGACAAAATGTTAGGTTATTACATGTTTTAAGCATTTAATTGCTAGATTTAAAATAGATAGATTTTGCCCGGATATCAGAAGGTTGATGCTTGGATCGCGTGTAATTTATTCTCGTAAAATCTTAACACAGTAATCTGCAGATAATTCTATATAGTATATATTGTTTAGGGCATTGCTAGACAGCTCTATACTTTTTCAATATCTACTTTTCTGAGGAATGCCAGAACTATTGATAAATACTTTCATAATGTCGAACTACATGAATGGAAGTTACATAAAATAGTTTTATTTTTCTGTTAGAGCCACGCGCGTAAAAGCTTTTTTATTACTTCGTCCGAAGCTCAGGTTGCGAATAAGCAATATGGCATTTACTGTATATGAAACACACACACACACACTTGCATCCTGGCTGGTTGTAAAGAGCTGTAGGTAATATAGGCTACACACCAGGGACATTAGGCGAGTATGAACTAACATTCGCTTTATATCAGTAATCCATAAATAAAATGCTCTAATGGTCTTCGTAGGTCTTCTTCATCTGATTGTCTGTCTGACTAAGTGTGAACTTTAATATCTTTAATTCTAACTTAGCTGTTCCAAATACTATCGAAATTCAAAACTATACCTGAGTATTTTACCAAGAACAACGGGCAATAATTAAGTATTCTAGAGCTCAATTAGTTAGTAATATTTTGAATCATCAAAATACTTATTACTTTATCTCACATCATCTACATGTTTCTTTTCTCTTTCGTCACAACTTGCTATTGACTTAAGAAGAATACCACAAATAATAATATCAGTACTACATCCATTTATTTTCATGTACAAAGCCAAGTGTTTATTAATTTGATAGGCTGTTATTATAAGGTATTTATATAATGTATAACGTCTTGTTAGCAATGGCAATTCTTACCGATCTAGTCTACCAAAACCATCTTGACCCATATTATTTCTGAAGAGTCCGAAGTAGAGTAGAGGGCATGATGAGTTCAGTAAAAGCCACCCCAGTGAGACGTGACTCAAATCTAGCTCAATTATCACTTGGGATATCAAGATTATATAGCAGTGTGAAGTGTGAGGTCTGTGACAGAAATATTATATGAAGACTGAGTGGGTTCTAAAAAGAATAGTTTTTTGTACAAAGGTCGTAGGAACGAATTTTGTGACAGGATAAAATGCTTCATTTCGTGGAAAGATTGCTACGTTGCTCATGCCTGTGATTTTTCTCAGAATATGTTAATAATGAAATTTTATTAAGATTCCCATTACCAATGGCCTTTGACAGCGAAATTAAAAACGAAGATGGTTTCACAATAAAAAAGCTAAAAATATTTTTTGTTTGTAAACATCAATCGGTGGATTAAATATTTTACTGCAGAACACAAATAATGCAGTTGGACTGTTGCCAGAATCTATCTTTCACGACGCCCTTTTACCTCATGTCCAGAACAGAAATAAAACACTTATTTAACATTTAACACATGTCATGCATTCCTATAGCGATGACGTTGGTTTTATTACAAGTTTTAATTAATTTCTTTCTTTTCAGGGACGGTGCTTTCAGTCGAAGTACACTTCGAGAATAAAGACAGTGGCTTTTTCTTGAAGCATACCGCAAGATGGAATGGCGCAGGTCCACCTCCAGAGCCGATGGGTACAGCCTTACCCGGCGCGTTACTTTCCCTGGACCGATTCACTGTATTACAAGGGTCTGCACCAGCGTCCGTGCGAGCCACATACGGCCCTTTTTCCACTAAACAAACCGTGCCAGCTCGATACGCGGTACCAGATCCTTTGGAACCGCCACGGAGAAATGCTACACTACTAGAGTTGCAAGAAGCCACGGCGCACAGGCTAGACGTGTCAGCACATTTAGTGTTTCGTGAGCTTCCTCGCGATGCACCAGTGTTGCGAGTTTTATTCCACACTGGAGGAGAGGGGGGTGCCAGAAGAGCAGCAGCTCGTCCGAGACGAGTATGTATAACATTGCACGCCAGCCTTGGTTCACGTACACTAACGGCTACTTGTGGACCGGAAGGCGAAGAAGGAGCCTGTTTGTCTGAACTTACTATACCGGCTGCATGGTGGCCCGCAGACGGGAAAGGCAAGCGCCCCCCGAGAACAGTGAAGTTGGCGTATAGCGCTGCTGAAGCCAGTAGTGGCGAGTCTGGTGATGGCGCGTGTGGAAGAATATCTGTGCAGCCTGCGTGGCCTCTGGGTTCAGTTACCCTTGCCGGAGCGCGTGCGGGGTATCGAGAGGCGCGAGCAGGTGACTCTGCCCTGCTGCTCCCCCGTGCACCACTTTACCCTCACTCAAGACTTCATCTGCCTTTTGTTGTTCGCCGTGATGCAAGCCACACAATTGGACACGTTATTATCAGGTCAGTAATTATATTTTATCATTCAGAGTCTTCAATTTAATTTAATGTTTCTTAAAAAGTTCAAAAGTTACAACATCAACTTTAATGAAACTTAAAAAAAATTGAACGCAGCCGTTAGAAAAACACTATCAAACTACAGAGTAACGTGTTTCGGCAGATACAAAGAATCATTCAATATGTACAAAAAAGGCAATGACAAAAATTCAAGTACATATGTGTTTATTAAATGTTCGCTTTGTGGAAAATTTGCTGTCCTTAGTTATTTAACTAGGTTGTGTTGATGAACAACTATTTGCAATTTAATTGGACTTCGCATCGCATTCCTGATTCTATTTTAAACTAAATGAATAATGCAGGATGTCTTCTTGATAGATCATAAGAGTTTTTTTTTTATTTCTGTGGAATATTTAAATAAATACTTATAGAGATTAGGTACGTTGATCATCCAAAAATAACTCAAATTCTTTTTTATAATAGGATTAAGCACATTTGATAATTCAAAACTGTTCCGCGACCTATTGAATATTAAAAATAACGCTTCTTTCGATAATACAATAGCAAATCGAATGGTTTCTACGAACACTCTTCAAATGGTAATCTTTAATTGAATTCCGACATATCTGATCTGACTCGTACTTTCTGACGAGCTATTCGATTATGCAGTCGAGTCGATACTTATAATTCTTCATGATGTCACACATATCAAGCCTTCTGATTACAGGTAAAATTATACTTAATCAGAAAAAAGATTGAACAACGCGGTTTTATAAAACTACGGTGAAAGTGAAACTTTTAAAATCATTAATAAAATAAATCGTTCATCGGCTAGGAATTGAACCCGAGCCGCCGGCGCAGCAGGCGTTTGTTGTTAAAGGCTGAATTTTTGGATAATAATCAAAAATGTAATGCGTCATGCTAAAGATGAACGAAAAAAATGTGTGCGATCTAAAAAGAATATATTTGCTTAAATTTTTCTTTACAAAAACTTGCAATTTATTTATGAACTGTAAATATTTTAATCAAATCATATATATATATATCAAATAGAAATATTAAAAAATACTTAGAAATTACATTTAGCTATCGTAAATAATGATAATGTACACTTACCTGCAACGGTGTTCTGTTTGGTTAATTTGCAATACTTATTTTTACAAAATTTAAAGTCTGGCCCCACAATTTTTTTATATTTAGCCTAAGTGATCTATTAGAAATTAAAATTACATAGATAAACTTAAAAAATCTTCAAAATGTATAAGCAATGTTACAGAAACTTACTGTACTCAAGCGAATACGGCGGCGCTAAATAGGTTAAAAAAAAGAGAATAGCGTTGTAAACCTTTTTTTAATGATAATAAATAATATGTTTTTTATTTAAAAAGCTAATGTCACTTTATAATACAAATTATAATATGTTCAAGGGACAGCAATCTTAAGAGTACTTAAGACAGTTGCTTCAAGGAAGCCGATGGTAATGACAAAAGCAAATAATAAAAGCTTACTCATTGTTACGTCAAAAACACACAAATCTTACTAAGCCACTTAATACCTGTAGGTAGCACTTAAGCATCGCAATATTGGTAACAAAAAAACTTGAATAGCTACAAAAAGCCCATTGCCAAACCCCCAATTCCATTGTGGCAAGTGGCAAAATATTGGCGTTTAGTAAAAATAATGGGCCATCGAAGTCGCTTTGCAAGTTTTAACGGGCCGCCGCGCCGGAGCGCTCGAGATGCTTGTAGAGTGCTTCACAATGTGGCGACATCGCTCGCCGCTCGTTCCCTTCGCTTCAATTAAAAACTTTTTCAACAATAGGACAAAGTCCTCGCAAATTAATGTAATGATTTGTTCTACCAGGCCAATGAAAGACAATCTTTAAAGAACTTATGAAAAACATTCAGATGAACTAACGTTTAAAACAGTTTTTTATTTACAACTAGTGGCACGCCCTCGCTTAGCTTCGGTGTAGAGTTGTAGTGTAGATAGACTATAGTTTTTGTTCTCAGGCTTGTATTATACATAATAAATTTCTTTATATAATTCCATGAAAATTTATTTAAGTAATAGTGAAAATTTTGTTGCGTACTTGAGGACCCGTTTAACCTACCGAATGCAGCTTTTTTATGGTTATCAGGAATTAATGGTCTGATTTGAAAAAAATCTTTTTGTGTTGCATAGTGCATTTATTTAGGAAGGCTTAAGGCCATATTACATCACGCTGCGACTAGTAGGAGCTGATTATCAATGTAAAATGTTGCAAAAACGGGTAAAAATATTTCCATTTGTGAGCTTCCGTTGCGTGCGCTGCGTAAATGATTAAAGTTACACAAAAATCATGTATGATTGTTCCTCTTTAAATGTTCTATAAAAAAGTCCGCAACAGCATAAGCCCATCTTTTAAGTTTGGCTCACTATAACCTTTTTCCTTAAATTAACGCGGGTGAAACCGCTGTAATAAGTAGTTAGACATTGATGTCCTCTATAAAACATTAGTACATCACTTTGCTCTACTGTCAATGACTTCCGCAGCGCGAGCGCTATTTATTTATTTATCTTTGGTATTTTTTCACACCTTATTACGTTATCGAATTTTTCATACGGAACCCTTTTTTGAAAATACTCAATAGACTTTGTTGATCAGGGATAATGTAGGATTCTAAAGTGAAAGAATTTTTCAAATCGGTCCAGTAGTTTCGGAGCCTATTCAATATAAACAAACAAACAATCAAATCTTTCCTCTTTATAATATTAATATAGATTAGCTTTGCTTATCCAAATAAATAAAGGTTGGTTGCGAATTGCAACGATTTTGGGTTAATTTTGACCATCGGTGATGGTATGGTGTAATTTATTTCAAAGTTATTCAGACAATTAAACAAAGCACGCAGAGAACAAACGGAAATAACTGCGTTCAGGGAGGGGCGCCTACGTGAAATTTACACTGCGGGTTATTACTTGTAAAATGGAAAATTGTTCATCAATGTCGGCTTAGGGATTCCTCTGCAGTCAAATGGGAGTTTAGTAAACTAGTAAATATTTCATTCTAGTCAAAAGTAATGTAGTTATTTAATACCAATACCCTAGCCACATTTTTTTTTTGCTTCTTAAAACTTTATTATTTATAGTTTTATCCAATACTTTTTTTATCGTATGTTTGATATTATATCTGTATAAATTCTTTCGATATTTCCTACTTATCGCCGCATTAATAACGTTATAATTATCACATTTTATTTTTAACCATTAAAAAGTTAAATAATAGGTACTTAAGTAGTAAAAATTTTTTTTACTTGTTAAAAATCGATCTGTATATATTAGGCTGTATAGTATAGGTAGGTATAGGTATTCTAATGATATAAATTTTTTATTTACTTAAAGACATCGGTAATGAATGATTAATGACTCAAAAAGAGTAGCAAAAAACCATTTAGCTGAGATGTGACAACGATAGGTATTTGAAAGTGGTTTGCAATACAAGAATACTGAAGCACTGGAAACCTTACACACCGTTAGAAACATAACATGTCTTTACAAATTAAAGCTACTATATTTCATTGTTATCTATTGTCAGTTGGAGATTCCTTCTCAGAATTATCTCTCCTATTTTATTTTACATTTTAACGATACTGTTTAATGAAAAAGCATATAAGCAATCAAATCCTTGAAATAACAGTAGGTACTAAGTTATTTTTCATACTTTCAATCCCACGTAGACAACTTACATGAAATTTCCCTTGCAATGATTCTGTTTGTGTCCAACAACACCGTTAGAAATGCGACAAAATTTTGAAGCACGATCGTTTATGTAGTAAATTCAAGCAACATAACGTTTGAAATTTATTACCTATTGTTACATTACCTTCTGGTGGCAACAGTCACTATGCTTCGCTTTGTTACTGAAAATTACTCCACAGAAACTCAATTACGTGTTCCTGTGTGAAATATTAAGCGTCCCAGTGGGGGATAATAATGCATAAACATACATCTTTACAAGAATGCATAAAACGTTATATGTTGCCAATATAGTAACCTAGATACAAAATTAAAAAGAGAAACAGGCGATTTTAAAAAACCTACTTTAAAAATATTTAGGGTTAGAACTCTTTTTTATAATATTAATGTAACATTGATTTCGTAAACGAGGTGTCTGTGTATGATTCCATATAAAACTTTGATTGGATTCCAAAGCGATTGATAACTCAATAGTTTCAAAATCTCCTCCTTGTGCTTGGATCGCAGAGTAAGCAGACTCAGTTTCAAACTGAGAATCACATAAATTCGCAGATTCAGAGAACACATCCTAAATATTCCTGCAGAATTCACGATTTCAGAAATTTGGAAATAGCATCCACCCACTTCTAAACCACCTGCGTTCATACTTCGTAAGACTATTCTACTTTGAATTACGAGCAAAGAGGGCGCGCGGGAATAACGCTGCATGCGCCTAAATGGAAATTTATAACCACTTTGGTTCAGCTTGCGAGATATAGTATCTATAATATAGAGTACTTATACTCGCTAAGTTACTACTGGAATTATGTCCAAACTACGTGACTAGAAATTATTTGTTGCAAAGTCTTTACGTGCACGTTTGATTCAAACTCTTGGAAGTCGTCTCGAGCACGAAGCTTCATTGCACTTTTCTCCAGACACATTGATCGTAGGTACTATATTATTATAATTTTTCATAATACAAACAAAAATAATAAAATAATTTACTTTATTTTATACTTACTTTAAGGTAAACAATTCTATGTACAGTGTCATATAACAAATAAAGACCTTCGTTTTGGATATTACCTATTTTACACCTAAGTAATTTTTTATTAAAATTTAACTTATTATTCAACAGAATGAAGGTAAAGTCAGGCTTGCGGCTTGTGAGCGTGACAGCAGCGAATTCTCGATGGGCAGTGACCGCTGAGGTGAAACCAAGAACCGCCACTGTCACAGCCACAAGACTGGAGCAGCCTTTACAGGACGACGGTGGACTTAACACGTAAGTTGCAAAATCACTACCATTACTTTATTCTTAGTGCCTGTCCACATCTCTACGTCATGACGACGTCATCGTGGCTGGGTGCGGTAACGCGGCAGGGTGCTTGACATAACGTGCAAATTTACAACCAGTACCCCTAGCACGAATCATTATCGACTTCAAATAGTTTGCAAACCGAAATATCAATGTCAAATTTGTATGGAAATCAGTACACATTTGACAAATGGACATTGACATTTCGCACTCGCAAACTATTTGAATTGGTTCGTGCTAAGGGTACTGGTTTGTACGTTATGTCAACGCACCGTGCAACGTTACCGCACCGGTTCACGTTCACGATGTCGTGACGAGGTGATGTGTACAAGCACCAAGGGTACCAACATTCTTCATTTACATTAAGTCATAATACTGATTAGCTTAAAGTGCTTTGTCAAAAAATTTAAATCAAACAGAATGAGGTTTAAAAATTATTAGTTTATAGCTTTTGTGCAAGTGAGAAGAACTTTGCTGCAAGTGGGCTTAAAGATAAAAAGGGATTTATTACTACATTTTTTTAAACTAAGACCTATCACCATGAAATATCACTACCACCCAAAACAATAACTCTAAAACGACACAACCGACACTTGTAAAAGCTAGAATGATATTTCTTAATAAAACAAAATTCTCTTAGTCGCTGAATTTTTATGATACTTTGAGAGAAAATTTACCGCTATTTAGCGCTATTCCTATATTGTATTAACAAACTCATTTTTCACCTCGGTATCCGCGGTGTGATTTAAAATAAGAATACGAATTTCAAATAAATTTCAAATCATACCGGTAAATTCTGACTGAACTCTTTCAGTTCATATTAACAATTCAATCTGTAACCATTTCACAATAGAAGATTCTATGTAACAAGTCGCAATCCATGCACAAAAGGAATCCGATAAGTTTTAAGATTGCGATCGCTTTATAGCTACTCTAGCAGTACTGCTTATAAAGTACATCTGTGTACTCACACTGCTCTCGAAGCTCGAATTTGAAGAATTCATTTCATTTCTATTTTCTCAAACATCGCCTTTAGCTATTCGCGTTCAAAGGCGCAATTGAATGCAATTGGATCACCTTGACCGGCTGCTATGACATCTCCTATTCTACTACGAGTAATTTCTAGATAAATCAAAATTTCAAATAAATTATATACATAAAATAGGGTTACGGTATTCAGTTGGAAAATTTGAACCATTTCAACTGCATTTAAAATACAATATTTGGATTTTCAGTGGTAGATCGAATTTCACATAGAAATGAAAATAAATGTATACTTATTTGTAATAACAAAATAAAACCACTTCTTTTCGGGAATTTGTTTAAAATTTTGCCCACGACCGTGTTTTACTTGGGTCGGCGTTAAAGTCCTATAAATCGCCACAACGTTTGCACTGTTTAATGAAACAGGATGTCACGACTCTGTAAATTATCCTCGGTGAAATAAAACTATGCAACGCATTCAGAAAGCAAGGAGCATGGATTTGGCTACAGCTTTAATAATGTTTGTTACCTACGCATTTTGTGATTGCAGATACAGCTATGTATGTAACGTATAAATATAAGCTGATTTTTAGCAACATATTAAAAATAAAACTTTAATATCACAAACCTCTTAGAAACTTATGATCGGAAACGATTCCGAATTGTATATTTCTGCTTAGTCACTATCATTCGCTTGGGAATTGACAAAGACAAAGCACAGATATCGAAACCGAACCTGTTTTATATCGCTGGTGAATAAGGGGATGTGGTCTGAATTGTTTGTGTTTTGGTACTTCCTACTTCCTTGTTTATAAATTTGTTTTATGGCAATCCATTGCAGTACTTTTTGGTATTTTTCGGAAAACTAATTCTAAATTATTGTTATTTGGGATATTTATTTAACATTTGAATGTTTGTGTAGAGATATTGAAGAAAGCGGAGGAGCAGGTGGTCCTGGTTGGGAGGAAATCCTAACGTGGCTGGTAGAAGTGGGGGCTGAGGGAGAAGGTGACAACGAAGGCTCCGAGGGTGAATCTGGTCGGGGCACGGCGCGTCTGAGCTGGTCTGCTCGGGTGTCCGCTAATCCAACAACTACTTCAACTACGGAGGAGCCACCTCACGAGCACCGAGTCAATACAAGGCTAGACATAGAAAAGGATGATATTCAAGCTGTACTTCCAATTTCTAAGGTAAGACTTTTTGTATCTTCATAATAGTAGAGTCCAACTGAAAATGAACTCGTGGCAGATTTTCTCGCATTAAGAGTATGTCTACGTATGTATGTGAAAAAAAAACTTAGACCCAAACAATAAGTGTAGCGAAAAGTAAATGCTAATGAGAGTGTTAAGTAGTTTATAAAGATACATTTTAGTCAGTTATTTTGTATCACCTCTAGGGCGTGATAATTGCATAATAGTTTTAGGCTTAATAATAGCTCAGTTCTGATTATATACCATATCCAAAGAAGTCTAAGCAGCATGAACTTTTTTGAACTTTTGACCGATTTCTAATATTTTAATACTTATGTTAGTAATAACCAATTTGATTTATTAGTAACTAAATCAAGAAACGGCTGAAAAAAAATATAAATTTCATAACGATAATATAAAATATCAATTGATAAAACTTGAGTTTGTGTAAATGATGCATGTTGCTTAGACTTTTTTGATGTGTGTATAATGAAAATAATAGGAAAAAACAATCACTACACCACATCTCGCCTTAATCTATCAAATATGTTGCTTTTTTTGTTTGTTTTAAAATAATTAAATAGAAGTGAAAATATTATTCCCATAATATTAGTATTGTACGGCATAATTATGTTCAATGAGACTAAATTATGGGGTACCTACATTATAATACGGTCAATACTAGCGTCAATGATGCGTGGAATCAACAATTTATAGACACCAATTATAGCGATTAATTAACCGAGAGGTAATTCTTCTGTAATTAATGACGAGGTGGGAGCACCGTATATAGCCATAACGATATCTTTATCGAGTTTCAAGGGCTTTACGAGGTTCTGGTGATCCCAGGCACTATTGTCTGGTAATTGGACCGTAAAACAAGGTTTAATTACAGAGCTGAAAAAAAATAATAGAGAATGTTTCATCTCCTTTGACTTCTAAGTCGTTTGTAACAAAATCTCAGTAATATTTTGATTCTATCCTACAAAACCTCTGTTCTCGCCCAAAAATAACTCCTTAGACGTAATAAGCTCTTGGAAAGGTTTTTTTAATAATTGAGAAGAATTTTAAATAAACGATTGTCGTTGTATGAATTAATAAGTGAAATACGAAATTCTTTGTGAAAAAAGCTCAGACAATTATATCGGAAGCCTGATATTAACATGAATCGATTACGGAGTTTTTCGGTTAGAACCAAACTGATTTTATAAATAGACCGTTAATTCAATTTCGTATAAAAAAATTTATGTTTAGGCATCTGTCACATCCGTTCATTCTTTTTTTTTTCATTAATTGGGACCTTCGTGAGAGTTGGTAACGTTGGGAATTCAGGGATTAACTTTTAATGGTGTTCCTGGCATGTATGCAGTGGTGTGTAATGGTGGTTTTATCGCTAGCTAATGGAGGACAAAGGGCAAAAACAACCAAAGCACTCTGACGATTAAATTTTGAATAAGCTTTTGCGGCCACCGGTGGTATTCACAGCGTTTACCGCATTAAGGTACCTTCAAAAAATAAACTCCTAAATTGCAGTATTATCATTCTAAGATATAAGATCTAAAACTGCTGTATTTTCACTTTTTTTATTTTTTATAAAAAGTTACCTACTAAATATAAAAAACCGAGCCGTCGAGTATTTTAATTTTTCGCAGATATTTTTCAGTTATGTGAACAAAGTGTAAATACAAAAATTTATAGACCTTTTGATTACCTACAATTTTTCCATCGATTTTTTTTTGATAGTTGTAGTTTTCCCAAAACCACTATAAAAAATTCGCCCCCTATCAACCGTTCCCGACCTCAAATCGCCCATATTTTTTTTTCATCTTTTTCGCGTGTTCTCACCCTTTGGAATGGATTTCATCCTGTTCTAATTTTTTCACTTTTTACGATCTTAAAAGGCATCGCCTTTGTCTATGTCAACGTAATTAGTAGACGAGTAAGTACGAAGATAGTTAAGCTATGCAACAGCTCTGTCGCATGATACAATTCTCGGCGCAACGAAGCCTGCAGAACTTAATTTAGCGATCACATCTTGTGGGTAAGTAAACCAATTATGAATTAATGGAGCCGGGTGACATGACAAACAATTTGCGAGCCAGGCAAATTGAATCGTCGAGTGCGACTTCAGTCTCTGCTGAAAAGTATTTTTTAATGTAAGATACTGCAGAAGAAAATTGATCTTATATCGAATGTTATTTAAAATGTAATGTTGAGTAAATAACTCTAAGCTTACGGACACGCTACAAAGTTCCAAACTCGGGGTGACATCAAGCTTTGATGTTCTGTGTTGTGCTTATGTTAGAAAAGCATAGCGACACAAATCCTAGCGCCAAAGAGGAGCGGATTAACTAAATTGAGCATTGACACCAAACAGCGCAGCATAATCTTGCTGTTCATTTGTCATTCTCACTGTTAAAGAGAAGCTAGGATCTTTGTAAGTTACTTTGTAGGCTCGTTACTTGTAGTTACCATGATAGCATACGATGCTTCTGTGCGTGCACTAAGATTGACTTATCATCGTGCATAGACGTGTCGCGAGTAGTTTCACTTTTAGCACAAAGCTAAGCTATTTGTTATTATTTATTATATCGCCGTACCTAAAATTCATAATTGCTTGTAATTTTTAGTATTCTATATAATATATTTTCTAAAACATTTAGAATGTCCTACCCATTCGAATCGCTATTTATTTAATGGTATCGTGATATAGCTAAATCTGACTTAAAATTCTAGATTAGAAGAATAATTACAGTATACTTTACTTATATACAAATTTCCCTGTGTATTTAGTAGGGGTAGGTCAAGATGAGAGGATTTGATTGTAAGAACCTTAGAAGGAATTATACAAAGTCTTCTGAGATATAAGCTGGGTTTTAGGGCCCTCTCTGGCCTTTGTACTGCAATAATTTAGACGAGTACCAGTATCATGTAGGCTGTTAGTTATATTGCGAGGCCGAGTAACAAGTTTATCTCAGGCGTATTAACCCCTGAAAGGTTATGTTCAAGGGCAGAGTCACATCCACCCAAGGATTATCTGTACTTAACCTTGTTGAAATATTATCTGTATAAAATAATATTTTGAGGAACAGAAAAAGTTGATCAACAAATGTTATTGAATATTTTATACTCGGATAGATAGGTACGTTAAGGAACAATATGATGGATACTGTGTAAAAACGTCAAAATAGGCAGAAGTTGTGGCCAAGTTTGCACAGGCAAATCCCGTGTATAGTAATATTGAAGTGAAATAAAAAAAATGTTTAAAAATGTTGTATTGATCAGCTATTGAAATAAAGGTGTTTATGGTTGAGTCTTTCGATCGATACAGCAGAATTACACAGGTAGCAACCTTTTTTATACATTTAGCGGATTAGGCTCCCGATTGAGACAATGATTATTTAAAATTATTTAAATGGAGTTAATATTATTTTTAAAATAAAAATGAGGACATTCAATAAAATTTTCTACCTACAGTTTTTGTGGTACTTTCCCTCCATGAGGCAGTTTTGGGACACCTGTATAATTTCTTGTACTTATAACAAATGTGGTCGTGTGGTCGGTGGGGTCTGTGATCATAGGTATGCTACCTCTTCTTAATCCTCCGTGGAATCTATTCGACTAAGTTATGTATTTACACAATTACCATTTAGAGCTGCGATTACCTCGTCACATGACTCAATACCATATCTGCCTGTCTATGCAAATTACAAGTTTGTACATAGTAGGTAGGTATAGACTAGGTCACCTCACATTGATTGTAATTAGCCCATTATTGTTCGAATAAGTAATGCATAAATGAGTATTGTCAGTAGATACTCCATACTTGTGATTAATAAGCTAGCTTGACAAATGAAACTAATTACTTAGTTTATTGTTATCTCAGATATTGTTAACGTAACTGTAATAATGTATTGTTAAACGTAGTAAAAAAAATGCTATAGCGTTAATCAAATAGCAGATATTGGAAAACCGGTAACTGTGAGTTGGACTCGCGCACGAAGGGCTCCGTACCATTATCTATAAAACATAAGGTAATATATTATTCACTATATTATGTCGAGCAAAAACGGCAAAAAATCTCGTTTGTAGTATGGGAGAGTTCGTAAACGATGGGAATTCATCGCAGATTTTCTGTTGCAGAATCTGATAATTCTCGCATGAACTATTTATCTTCTTGAAAAATAACAAAGCAGGGCCATTTAAATATGCTGGAAGAAAGATCTTTTTTGTTTCTTCTTGATCATTATAAAGCGCGCCATTTGTGTTGTATTGGTTGAAGAAATCGACTACATCACCTGTTCCATGAAATGTAGTCTTGGCGTCCATTGTCTTCCTTTTTTCTCGCTTGACTGCCAGAGGTAGTTGTACCTAGCGCCTCCACCATATGAGACTCTAGAAGGGAGCCTGGGGTTCGCATTAAAATGGCACAGTATATCGCTGGGTTTGCGTATTTCTTCTATATTATTCACTAGCATACAATAAATGATAATATGCTATGTTTTCACTTCTACACCCGTTTTCCAAATGCCGAATAGAGACAAAAGCCAACCCTGTTCTATTATCTTAATTACTACTTGATTTTTCAATATGAATTTCTCTTGAATACCAGCCGTTGGCACTGGACAAGCAAAAAGGGTGGTAACGCTGCAGGCGTTACAGTAGGTAAAAGAATTTACAATTCAGTAATTTTGATTTGCTGCGGCAATAGAAAAACACGTTCTATGTTAATTAAAACTAATTGTGGTTACCGGACCGCTATTTTGCCGTCGGTACCGGACGGACGTGCAATGGAGGCTTAGTAATATGTTTCCCTATTCACCCTTTTGGGGTTCCGTTGTAGGTAGGTATTATGGCCCGAATATCGTGATATAATAAATCACATAACAGTGGTGTCGATTTCGGCATGATTCTCTAAACCCACCCTTAAATTTGAAAACAGTGTATCCTTGTCATTGAAAGAAACAGATACAGAATGAAAAGGAGAGACTGATGTGTAATTTAGTATTAAGTTTAGAGAATCATGCCAGAATCGTCACCACTACGTTTACATTTACATTTTCTAAAATGCGGTTGCGGTTTAAGATCTTTATTCTCATAAAAAATACAAAATTCACTTACTATGAGAACATGAAATATTTTAAATAACAATTTAGTTTAATACGGAGATACATTGAAGTCGGGATAGAAGTGTCATTGCTCATTGATTACGTTCGGGCATAGATGGCTCGGTTAACAATGAAAAAGCTTTGAACTCAGATATAGCTCCGCGTCGTACTGGAAGTGGCTTGAGTTACGTGTGTTAGGAGTTGACTGTGTAAATAATGTATATTTATTATATTGCTAATTCAACGCCATAATCCTGTTCTAAGCAGAATTCTGCTTATAACCATGTAAAAGCCAATGTAACGACTGATTTTTTACCCTATAAATATCACGCAAATTTTTTGGGTATTTTATTTTTAAATAAAAAGGACATCGACGAAATCGGCCCTAGCATGCCCAAAAGAATGTCCTTCACTATTATCTTTCTATTATTTTTTAACATATTAGCAATTAATCATAGTAAACGGACAATCTGTTTAAAAAAATAAAGTTCTGTTACTAGATACTACAGTCTATTCATCCAACTTGGCACTCCTTTTTATTGAAAAACAGCATTAAAAATCAACTGATAACTGGATTCAAAAGGTTTCAGTCTATAATAACGATTTATTTTAATAGTTTATTGGCTTCGTTAATATTTTATTATTAAATGGGTGATTCTGTTAAAAAGTTGTGCCAAGATTGTTTACCTTAATAAATGCATTAGAGGCGACCATAGGTATTTATCAAAAGAAAAATAGAGATACCTTAGTTAATAGTACTTATTCCTAGTATTATATTTATAAAAAGATTATTTCTGAAATTATGTAAAGATAGTTTATACTCCCATCCCATATAATATCTGTTTATTTTTATGAAAATCATAATGATAACCAGGTACATACCTAATTACCGATAGTAAAATATAGAAACAGGTAAATGGAAAGACTGAACATTTCATTTGAAAAGAAATCTATTATTACTACAGGTAAGGTATAGGTATCGTAGGTGCCAACTGACAACACTCATAATCGATATGAATATAAGCATTTAATATTTTTATTATTAATTGCATTTTATGTTCATTTAATGTATATTATTTAAGTGCTTGCATAGAGGTAAACACTAAATCTATTCAGAATATATAAAGTGTACATCTTTTACGATTAAGTATAATAATTATAACCTCAAAATCAACTACATTCTGTAGTAGGCCACGGTTCCTCAAGTTGTCCGTATCTCAACAAATGCCTATATAGAGTTTATGAATGATTCCGAACATAACTAGCATTTTCTCATTGCTGGGCGTTCTAGGGCATTCAATGTATGGGGAACGAGCAATGTCCTTTAAATCATCGTATTAATTGGCCACGTGTCCCAGATTCATAAATGATAGTACAACGTGAAGTTTATCCGATTAGCGAGCTCATTGCGGGTGATTGCGGTAGCTATGAGAGGCCAGTCACTCGCAACGAAATCCGATTAGAAAATGCATCTATAAGACACCCAAGCACTTCATTACCTACACGTGATTCTGTTGTTATAAATAGATATTATACAAAATGTAGCTATTATGAAAACAATTTTCATGGAGAAATACACTGAATAAGTATTACCCTACATCCTTAATTAGTTCTTGAGTATCCTCTAAGAACAATTTTCACCGCGGAATTCGCCGGTGTGATTTGAAACTTTTTTGAATTTTGTTTACTAATTTTAAGTGTGAATTGAAATTTATTTGAAATTCGTGTTCAAATTTTAAATCATACCGCGGATTCCGAAGTGAGTTTGTTCTTAGAGAATAGTACTTCTGATTTGGGTTGATTATAGGTACTGTGGCACAGAATATGGCTGTATGTGGATAGAAAACAAGAACAAAGAAAGTTATTTCCTTACCTTAGAAGTATAGGTAACGGCAAACTTCTTGATCAAAACCACAGACAAATAAACTTGCGCAGTAGACGTTTTTCTATGTAAACTTGCTACTGCGCAGGCTTCGTCTTCTATAGTCTATAGTCAGTGCCGTTTACCTATTGGAGGCCCTGGGCATATTAGGCTAATGGGGCCCCTATGACTTCCGTTTGGTGATTTAACAGGAACTAGGGACTTTGTATGTGATCTGAGGGGGTCCCCTATCGATCGCGGGACCCTGGCCATTTGCCCAAAGTGCCCACTGGGAATGACGGGTCTGTCGATAGTCGTTGCTCAAGAACTTTGCCGGGGTTTTATCAATAACTAAATATAATTATTATCGTCGCTCCTGAACCTAATAATTAATAAAAAACTTCTATGTTTTCTTCAACAAATTGAAAGCTTTTTTTGCCAAATTATGTCCCATTGGTCTTCGTCTTCGTGATATACAATATTTTACTTAGGAGGCTAAGGTCAATAAAACATTAAGTAGAGTAATATTTTAGAATCTCAGCAAAGTTTAGAAGTTATCGTCAAAGTTATTGCTCGAAATATAAAATATAGATGCTTGAAACAAACTGCGCCGTTTGTTCTGGAAAGTCCGACGTATTAATTTATCGTAAAATTTAAATCGACAAACCAAATAATTTGCTTCAAATTCAAGCAAATTGTTTTGTTATTGTTAGTAATATAAAACATCGCTCGCTGATCTTATCTAATTTTTTATATATTATTGTGATGCAATTTTTTTTTTATGAATTTCAAACCTAATTTGAAAAGTTTGAGTGTGTAATTCTTTTCTCAGAATTGGGAGGTTCTAAACACCGCAGTGCTGACAGGCAGACAAGTGTCGCAGGCTATGAAAGTACTGATTGTCTCACAAGCGGGCCAAGTTGCTGACGTCACTCTGCAAAGCTCTTGCCATTCAGAAGACGAAAGCGTCTTAAAGGTAAGTAATACGATCTTTAAACCAGATTGCTGCCGTTTCTATTCAAATCAAATCTTTCACCTTCCTAAACAAAATTCGTGTTTATTTAAGGTACATATTCTGGTATGTACCTTAAATAAACACGAAAATATCCAAAGTAAAATAAAGATGTAGATAACTTTATACCTACTTAGATTTTTTTCACTGAAAAGGTATACCTAATATGAATTTATTTTATTTTAAAAGCCAAGTAATGTACCTATTCACCGCATGCAGACTTAACTACATGAACTGTAGCCATAAATGCGTTGGCTCCATGGGAATAAAAAATCCAAAAACAATTTTAGACAGAATTGTGCAGATGCATATTTCACACGACAGCAATATATTCTAGCAATTGAGCTTTCAAATTTATTCCGCCTATTTTGTCTGTTCAATCGGATACTGTAGACATTTATTGGATTTTATTTCGTCGCAACAAATATAAATAAATATTTCCAACACTCACGCCAATTAGCCTAGCCCCAAAGTAAACACTGTAAGGCTTGTGTTATGGGATGCTAGGGTAACGGATAGAATACATATACTGTACATATATAAGTATATTTATATAGAAATACATATTAAACATCCATGACTGGAGTACCAATGCTCGTATTCATTACACAAACATCTGCCTCCACCGGGATTCGAACCCGGGACCTCTCGATTCGGCGACACCATGAAACCCAGCGTACAAACCACTCGGATACGGAGGAGCTCTCCTCTCTTTGTTACTATCTAAAAATACATCATGATTGTTTAGAAGTAATCTTCTGTGGTTTTAGATTGACGACGAAAAGTAAATATTAAAGTAGAAAACTTAAATATTTGCTTAAATGTTTATAAGGGATGTCTGGGAAGACATCAATGAGAAGGGGACTTCTCATTATTAAAATGTCTTTGAAAAAGAGGAAACGCTATTAACCGGAATGGTTAATGACTAACCGGGTCACCGGCACACTTTAAACAATATTTACAAGAATATAGAAAAAATATTGTCAGATATTATTCAGTAAAGGTATATGGTATGATGGTACATGCGTATAGGCTGGTAAAAATATTGTAGACCTTTCTGACCCTTTGGACTTCAAAACCTGTTAACATATCTTTATGTTTACAATATTACTTCCAGTTGAAACATTCGCGGATATTAAATCCCGAATTTCTGAACCGTTACTTATATAATATAATGTACCTAACCTAGTACTACCTACCTACTACGAGAGCCTGCGATTTCGTTTGCTTAGTTTCCCATACAAATTTCCACCTCTTTTTTGACTCACGGAAAGGATGATTTCTGGGATAAAACTAGACCATATCCTGTCATCATCATCAGCTTATTATTGTCCCCACTGTTGAGGCACAATCCTTCCCTGTAGATGGAATACGGAGATTGCACCGTGACCCACCACGCACGCCCAGGGCGGATCGGTATGCGACTGCAGATGCAGCCGTTGCCAACGGCTTAACATGCCTTCCGAAGTACTACGGTGGAGCACGAGATAATATTTTTTTCCGAACGTGCTAACCACTTGCGCCTTCCAGTTCTTCACTGGCTACTACTATAATTCGAAATTTTTCATCTTCAGGTATCATCGTCATGTAGTTCAGTGTACGTGGACGGTTCAGAGATCCGCGGCTCATCCAACGCCTCAGTGATCGTCAAGTACGGAACCTACACTGGATTAGCGCGGTTCACCGTGTGGATGCCGGAGTACCCCTTGGAGATAGATGTGGATGACAATCGCCTATCTCAAATCAAAGGTTAATTTTGTACTTAGTTGAAAATTTGATGTGAGGTAAATTATAGAGTAAAAATCCCGGGCGCTCTCAATTAAATTTAGTGCTTGCCGAAGTGTTGCGTTGTTACTTTAGCTAAGAAAGACGGCCGTTAGAAACTCATATTTAATATCTATAATTGGCAATAGACTTGCACTCAGTTTCGTTAAGTTTGTATGAACCTTATTTCTTCTAATGTATATCACAAGCTTCTTTAGCCATTTTTTTAATAAAATATATTTTCAGGTTGGAAAGTGTCCGACGACGCTAACACCAAAGACAGAATGAAGCGATCGCTCTTGGCCCGTGGATGGGGTGGCACCAGACCTGATGGCACCAACTCTCTGACTGACCAGCGGTTGTGTCGTCTCCGGTACCAGCAGAGCAACGTCGAGGTGAGGCCTTTTGTACACAAAACATGTCAGGTTAATAATACCACAAACGATAATTTAAAATCTCCCATTTATTCCTATATGAGAGCAGTCAGAGAACTGTCATCCTATCATCCCTAACTATCTAACCTATCATCACTAACTGCATATTATTTTCTTATGATTTTCTAATCTTCGTCCTTACCTTTGTTGATCCTGTACCGAATGGCAAGTTTTCATCAAAACCTACAATGGTTTTGTATACAGGGCGTCCCACGGGTACCTCACACGGAGGGAAAGTATATTAAATATTGAAGATAGGATATTTTACCGAAAGAAGACATCATTTTATTTTTAATTATAGCTAGAACTGCATTCACAGATTCTTTTCGTGAAATTTCGAAAAAATAAACACTCGAACCCGCACCCTTCGCAATCCGGGCGAATGCACTGACCAATTATGCTACCGCGGCCCTCACGGACCGCGTCGAAATTCTTTCTAGCTATTCTTAAGCTGCAAGGCAGCGCCATCTCTTCGCATTATAGGTAAACCCACAATGTCAAATGAATACTTTTACAAGTATTAAACCGCGTGGAATTTTTTCTAGTTATATTTTCTTTAGATTTAAACATCAAGCAGTTACATGCTTTAAAAATAATAAAAATTATAACTAAATAAACACTACATGTTTTATGATAACCATCGAAAGAGTTATTCATAAAAAATATTTTAGGCTAAATAACATAGCATTTTAAGTGAAAAAGGTAAAATTACACATTTTATTAAAAATATTCAACAAAAAGTAATACAAAACGAAATGACGTATCAAATGTTCAAAATGTGATCCGATTTGTTGTATGCAAATTCTCACTCTATTAATGTTTTCTCTGCCTGTCGATTTCATTATCTTCGCGTGGTGAATGTTTGTTATAATACGTCTGAGTTATTTTGTAACTCCTGCACACTGTCTTACCGGTTCTTGTATACTACATCTGTTACATAACCCCACAAAAAAGTCCAGTGGGGTTAGATCTGAGGATCTCGCTGGCCATCTTATTTGTCCATAAGAACCGATCCAGGAAGGAAAGTGTTCATTAAGAAACTCGGCAGTTCTCCTACTGTTATGAGTCCCATTTTGCTGGAAAATGAGATTTCGTCGATTTGCATCAGAAAGATTATTGATCTCACATCTTAAAATATTAAGTATTTCTAGATATCTTTCCGTATTTAGATTCCCTTTGTAAAAATGTATTAAGAGAACCCGTTTTTTAACTAAAATGAAAAACACAAAAAAAAAGAACAATACCCTTAGCACGAACCAATATCGAATTCGAATAGTTTTCGAGTGCGAAATGTCATTGTCAAATGTGTACTGATTTTTAGTTCTCGTTACGTACTTTGTGGTGCTGCTGTATAAGTTTCCATACAAAAGTTGACATTGACATTTCACACTCGCAAACTATTCGAATTCGATAATGGTTCGTGCTAGGGGTAAAGACGCTTGAAAATGTATGTGTTCTATTTACGAATTATTATTTTTACAAAATCCAGCCAATCGCATTGTAACTGAGTTCAAAAAGAAATGCATACGTACTCGTACTACAGTTTGTATATCACTTTATTCTTTTTATCACGTAATAAGACATTTCTTTCATTTAAAATGCTATGATAATTAGTAAAAAATAATCTTTATGATAAACCCTTTCGATGGTTATCATAAAATATGTCGTATTTTTTTCTCGAAATTTCACGAGTTTGATTCCCAGTTGTAGCAGTCGATTTTAAAAAAATCTGTGAATGCAGTTCTAGTGATTATCAAAAATGAAATGATGTCTTCTTTCAGTAAAATATCCTATCTTTAATATTTAATATACTTTCCCTCCGTGTGAAGTAGCCGTGGGACGATAGCAGATGAAAAGTGATTAATCAATCAGATAAAGGGAACACAACAGGATAGAACGGAGACTTCCAATATGCTTGGTATCTTTGTAGTATTATGAATCAATACTTCAAATTGCTGTTATAAATAAAAAAAAATGGGTGCGTGTACTTATGTAGGCGCGTGAGAAGTTATCCTTCTTTGGCATCGTTTAAAATTAGTTTTTAATTGCATGCAAATAATTAATTACAATAAATTAATAAAAAGTCTGGAAAAGGACACAGTCAATAAAGTTCAGTTTTAATTTGAAAAAATAAATAAATAATCAAAATATTCAATTAAAATCGCTACTGAATATAATTTATTAGAACATATGTGATTTGCACTTGTATGAAACTCAAACACGTATTCCGAATATACAAACTAGAAACATGTGGATAAATATTATAAATATGAATACCTATAACTGTTACTTTAGTACAAAAAATAAAGATGTGGTTTTTGGTTCTACTACACCAATGGTCAAGAGATGGCGCTGTAGTCTCCTGAATCGCGCTTTGGTTCCGTTGTTCCAGATTAATAAATACTTTTGATATTATAAATATGAATACCTATAACTGTTACTTAATTACAAAAAATAAAGATGTGGTTTTTGGTTCTACTACACCAATGGTTAAGAGATGGCGCTGTAGTCTCCTGAATCGCGCTTTGGTTCCGTTGTTCCAGATTAATAAATACTTTTGATAGGCCTTCACAATGCAGTCGTTAGCACCCACCAAATAGAGATTCTATTTTGTTGGTAGATATTCTTAATGTGCGGTAAACACAAAAGTAACAGCATGAAGTTGGTCGCTAAAGCGACCAACTTCATGCTGTTAATTTTTTGTGTTACAGTGATGCGCGCGCATCTTAAAATTTCACTCTCATCATTTTTTCATAACGCGCCTAAAGAAGTATAACTTCAAAAAGTAACATGAAGTCACTAATATCTTAACGTGATGAAATTTATTTGTAGGTGTACGCGCGATTCCTGGCGAAAGACCACGACTCGGGTCGCGTGTCGTATTTTGTTTCACGGCGGACCTGGCTCAAAGTGACGGAGCTGGTGCTGACGCTAATGAGAGTTTCGGACCCTCGCATCGCCTCTCTGAGGGGGCGCGTGCTCCAGGGGCGCAGTACCGGCCGCACTGAAGTCCAAGTGCTCTCCCCCATTACTGGTCAGTATCAGCGATGGTCAGTGTCATCTCAAAGTGACGGAACTGTTGCTGTCACTAATGCGAGAGTCAGACCCGCGCATCATCTTGCTCAGTTGTTCAAGTGCTCTCACCCACCACTGAACAATATCGCGGATTGTCAGTGTCGTCTCAAGGGGACAGAGCTGGTGCTAATGCGGGTGTCAGGCCCTCGCATCGCCTCGCTCAGAGTGGCTCTGAAGTGCAAGTGGTCTTCCCATAGCACTAGTCAATATTGCCGAAGGTCATTATCGTTTCAAGGGGACGGAGCTGGTGCTGATGCTGAATGCGAGTGTAGGACCCTCGCGTTGCTGACACCTTAGTATTATAGCAACACTGACACTGATATGCTTTTCTTATAAAACGAGAGAAATTGCTCTTTTTTGTCAGGTATTTTTGAAGTGTCGATCTCTTTCAACCGATACAGAGCTTATTTGTATGTACTATCGCGGAATTTTGCGCTGTGTCACTTGGCGAACAAAATGCTTTGAACGGTTTTCTACAGTAGTTTTTACTACGTCCCGCCTTCGCGTCGGACGCGCCAATCCGGGCCGCCGCACAAAAGTAAGACAGAGAGCATTTCATTGATTGAATAATGAATTGAATTGCATTTGTTTTAGTTGCAATTTGTCATCCGTATCGTGATCGCAACAGCGCTATACGAAAAAGTAAGACAGCGATAATTACATGTCATTGAATGAATTTTTACTACGCCGCTACCCAAGGGCGGATCCAGCTTTGGCGCCAGGGGGTGTCATATAGTCGTGGTCAAGTCACAGTGGGTACAGATGGACCCAGCCCAGGGGGGGGTCATGACCCCCGTGACCCCCCCTCTGGATCCGGCCTTGCCACTACCGCAAGCGATTATGGCGTTATGGATGACAGAGCGGGTCTTTTCGCGAGTGTACCTACAAACCATTGCAGGAGCATCAAAAGTATAACGCAACCTTCTACAGTTGCGTTTGTAGAATTACGCGTTGTAATACTTGTTTTTTAATGCGTTGTTATTAGATATCTACTTACTAGACAGTAATAAGTAAAATTAATTATTTGTTGTATTTGTATAACTAATATTCCTTTAATTTCGTCGACAGGTCGCGTAATCGGTCTCCGCGAAGTTCGAGTAGTGAACGACAAGGTGTCCATATCCCGTCTGCTAGTGCGAGTCATCTCCGGGCTGCAGCTGAACATTTCACCAGACTCCACCATCACCGACGGTTACGTGTCGGAAACCACCGTCACTAGGCGCCTTACTGCACAGTATCAGGTAAGCGGAGTAGATTCCAGTGGTGAACGACGAGGCGTCCATATCCCGTCTGCTGGTGCAACTCATCTCCGGCCTACAGCTGAACATTTCATAAGACCACCATCACCGACAGATACGTGTCAGAAACCATTACCACTAGGTGCCTCACTACACAGTATCAGCTAAGCGGAATAGATTATCTCTCATATTCCATTATTGTACAGAGTTAAAGTGCGTGTCGAACTCATTGTACATACCATATTTAACTTCCGAGTGGTGAGCTAAAAACTCAGAAAAAAACACGTATCTTTGTATGTCAGCTCCTACGCTACTAACTTTTACTGGTGTTTGTTATTATAGCGACAATAAAAATACATATTCTTTCTTTGAATTTCAAATGTCTACTTATAACGGTTTATAAGATAAGTACAGCTCGCCGATAGCCGGACGGGCAAGCTTTTTATATACAAAGGTATTAATCAACCTCGTATTTAATGCGGTAAAAGATCGTGCTAATCTTACATTGTTTTCAAGAATATATTACTTACCTACATCTTATTCCGTCTTTTATTGTCATCAGTCTATGAATGATCCACTGCTGGGGGATAGGCCTTCGCAATGGTCAGATTAGGGAGATCTATTCCTTCTAAGGGTGCTAACGAACGATGTAACCTGAACAAACGGCGTCACGAATCTTTCGATGCACGGTTTAGTTCGAGATAATAAATTATTGGTCACCCATCCTGTGAAAGCTGTTTAACCTTTTAAGTTGCTGAAAATAACTGTGCCATCGAGCTCTTAATAAATATATTTAGTAATTAACGTTATAATATAATATATAAATGTTTCTCCTTTCAGGAGGGTCTTTTGGATATCGACATAGAGTTCTCGGATGGAAGCCGCACTGCTCTACGCGATGTGGCGGTTTCAGACTATTTTCTGTTGGTGGAGAGCTTAGACCCTGAAGTGGTAGCATTCGCACCGATGTTGGCTTCCAAACACCCGCGTGTCATCGCGGTCGGAGAAGGTGAGTGCTCGATACGGGATTCGATTTATATAATTATGTATTATCTCAAGTAAAAAGATTCAAACTTTAGATAAACTATCTAACGTATAAGGGCGAAATTTCGCACAGATCACAGAAATATCTATATCAAACTATTATCTGTTTACACTGATACGCGTCTTTCGGCCGTATTCAGGCACGTCCTTTTACTTTGAAGTTTAGTATAATTGCGATGCTGTCTGTCTCTTTCTTATTACCTACGTACCCGCGACGGCGAAGAATAAACATACTTGACATTTCTGTGAGGGTACCACGTACCTTTTTTTTTATAACGCAGGTAAAAAGGCTACCATTTACCTTACCAACGATTACGTACCTACTATCTGACTACCAAATACTAATCTAACAGCAATGAAATAAGGATTAGGAGACTGATTTTCATTGACAACAGTGTATCCTTGTCATTCTCTATACAGAATGAAAAGGACAGAATGATTTTAAATTTAGTTTTAAGTTTAGAAAATCATGCCAGAATCGAATTACCACAATTGACGTTTCCAAGTACCTACCACTGCCTTACCAGCAATTGCTATCTACCAATTACTTTTCAAATTACAGGAAGCGGTGAACTCCTCCGAGTGACACTCCTGACGCCTGAACAATGTCGTTCCGGTCCCCTCCGAAGGGTAGCTTTACCCGGCAAAGGGGACGCTAAAACTCCGGCTAATATCAAAAACATTCCCGGTGCACTCGCCAGTGCCGCAGCCAGCGTCGATGTGGACTTTAGTGGAGGAGATGCACCACAGAGACCGGATACTCCTCAGAATGACGATATTATGGTGCGAGGTGGCCTTCGATCTGGATTGTCTGAGCTCACTGACGCATTAAAAGGTAATTAAGTAGTTTTATGTGTATTTTTAAAGAACATTTACGTTATCCTCGGCATCAGTGAGCGTCTTAGAGCATATACACTAAGGCAAGCGTAGAGCGAATGAGGCAAGCGGTAGTTAGGAAAGATACCATTCGTAATTTCTGGGCATTTCCAAAGAGCAAATCCCTAATCTGGTGCGGTAGCTGAATCGGGTATTTGACAGTAATAAAAAAAAAGTGCTAATTGTTAGCATCTGTGTTTGGAATGAATATTGGCAGGGGTTTTCACTATTTTTACAGAAAAAATATTCATAATTTTCCTAAAAACCCACGAAAAACATGAATAATATTTTCTTATCTATTGTCACGTGACCCAAAACGCTTGGGATTGGCGGAGCCTAAAATGACGTCACACGCAAGTAAACTTCCGGTTAAAGTGACATTACATTGTATCGTTTGATGTTTAAATAACAGTCGTGTGACGTCACACACTAGTAAGACGCCATATTGGCAAGAAAACCTTTTCGCGGCAACTAGAAAATGGAGTTTTTGATTTGGTTATTTTTACTGTAATACACAACAGAATGATGAATATTCACTTTTTACGGACTCTATAAACATTAGTCAATAACGTGACCTTTTTTTCTAAAACTTGTCAAATACCCTGTTCTGCGTACAGATGCTTGTGGCCTCAAATAGCACCGTTGCCTCTCCGGGCGAAGGGTCGCCAACTATGGTGGCCGTTAGAGAGAAGCCTGTTCATATTAATATTAGGTGTCTGTTCTTATTTTTTCAGGGTATGGTAACTCCATGAAAGATGAGAATAACCACGAGCCGACAGTGCAAGCACAACAATATGGAGCTTCAATCTTCCGTAGTAACCCGTCAGTGCATAACAGACACGCGCCCTCAAACAACATGAGGCCTGTGGAAATAGGTAAGTAATAAACTTTTGGCTGTAAGAAGTAGCATCTCATTTTATTAGAAGTTTAATAACATATAACGGTACGCCATTTTCTAATTTTTTTTTCAGGAATGTCAGTGTTACTCGGGGTGTTTTGCTTAGCTATCGTGGTAAGTTTGTAACTAAATTTAATAAACTATTGACACTGACAGTATAAAAAAATAAGTGCAGCGGCACCTACCAAAGATACTATAGAAAAGACTTGAAACGAAAGGTAGGAGCGCTATCCTTCCACTTACCAGATGCCGACCTACATAAACCGGTGGGTCAGATGAGAGTGATATTCGTAGTTCAAATATACTATATCCTTACTTAACTGTAGTAACTGCCTCATCAGCACATTAATGTTCCGACTGCTGGGGCACAAGCCTTTCCTACGGATGGATTAGAGAGATTGGGCAATGAGCCCATGCGTGATCCACGACGCGGGCCCCGTGTGGATTAGTGGGTGCTAACGACGGCAGATGCAGCCAGTACTAATGTGTATTGCGTGCCTTCTGAAGCACGGAGGAAATCAAGATAATAAAACTTTGGATACCGGGTTGGACCAGCCGGTGCATATTATTTAATATGTGCGACGGTGACACTTTGCATCAGGTAGCCCGTGCGCTCGTTTGCCTTCAAAGGCAATAAAAAAAATTCAATCATTAAACTAATACTTATTCTGTGCAGGTGTTCGTAGTATCGTGTGTGGTATACGCGTTCCGCCTAAAGCCTGTCAGGGCAGAAGGGGGCGGACGTAGTATGCCGAACATGGCTGAAGGCGGGCGGATGCAAGTAGCCGGCCTCGTGGGCACCACCCTCGGCATCTCCAGGGAGAAGACGTCCAGTGAATCCACCACCAACGCCCACGACTGGGTTTGGTTAGGTAAGACTGATTTGTCATAATCATTTCATAGATCAAAACACTCTTACTTAGCAGCTGGAACTCGCTAGAACAGTGACGCAGTATGTCAACCATGGCTGAAGTGGGCGGATGCAAGTAGCCTGACCTCGTGGGCACTTCCTTCGGCCTCTCCAGGGAGAAGACTTCCACTGAATCCACCACCAATGCCCACGACTAGGTTTGGTAAGGTGAGACTTATTTGTCATCCTCATATCCTAGTTTAAAACACTCTCATTCGGGCTGAAACTCGCCCGAAGACTGAAAGCGGGTGGATGCAAGTAGCCGGCCTCGTGGGCACCACCCTCGGTCTCTCCAGGGAGAAGACGTCCAGTGAATCCACCACCAACGCCCACGACTGGGTTTGGTTAGGTGAGACTGATTTGTCATCCTCATTTCTTTGTTTAAAACATCCTTATTTGGTGGCTGCAAACTCGCTAGAACAATGACGCAGTATGTCAACCATGGCTGAAGTGGACGGATGCAAGTAGCCTGGCTTCGTGAGCACTTCCCTAGGCTTCTCCAGGGAGAAGGCGTCCAAGGAATCGACCACCAACGCCCACGACTGGATTTAGTTAGGTGAGAGTGACATTTCATCTTCATTTAAAACAAATCTTATGAAACTTGCCTAAATCGTGGGGGTGGGTGCAGCATGTGAAGCAGAGCTAAAGGTGGTTACATGGTAGAGTTCAAATTACCTTTCTAGACAAGGTACATTTTAAAAATGTACAAACGATCGATTTCAGACTTACTTAACCCTTACTTACTACTAACTTATAATTAATTAAAGCGGTTATTATGAACTACATACTTCAATACTGATCAAGATCTTGTGCCATTGGACAATTAATCCTAGATTTCAGATAAATCAGGCTAAAGTTTATAGACTAAATAATTAATGTCTAAAATTGACTCAATTTTGTTAAACAGGCCGCACAACCATCGAACGCAATGGCAACCTTTATCCCTAAAATAAAAAGTCTAAAACTTTATCAATATAATCAATTTTGTTAAACAGGTCGCGCAACCATCGAACGCAATGGCAACCGTCATCCAGCCAACCGAAACTCCACGCAACCAACCGACAACGCCAACGCTCAAGAGATGAGGATCACCGCCAACCCCCTAAACTACAACTACGTAGACCCCGACGACGCTATCAGGGACAACGGGAACGTTATGGTGACGAGCTTCGACAATCCAAATTCTATCGAATTGCCTTCGCAAAGCGATAAGAGAAGCGCCATCGACTCGACGACTTATTGCAAGAAACCAGCGAGGCACACACGTCAGCACTCCGGAGATGGACATTGGCAGTAAGTCGAGCTTTAATTCTGTATTTTATTCATCTATCATTTTTCGTACAAAATGTTAAAGAGATTACTTTATAAATAAGTAAAGTAGAACTTTCTGTAAAAATATTTTTTAATATCATTCCGAAAGACGCCATACTTATTTTAAATCTTAACACAAATGCATGTTTCTAAGATTTTCCACATAATTTTAGTGCTAGTGAGTTCAGACTCCATCCTTTTGCACCCCCCAAAATAGCCTTAAATTGCCTATTCCACTGTCATTGTGGTCAGAACCAGTTTTACAATTCATGGATAACAATCATATCTAGGTATCCAACACATTCATGGACTGTAAAACTGTAGTCTGTGCAGCACAAGGGATTTTAATGTCATACGCTACTAATGCAATGATAAAACGCTGCTCTTAAGTTATATTCCTATTTTGCGTTAAAAAATCCCTGACAGACTAACGCCAGCAGGAAAAAAATCCTGTCCGTCTCACGCCAGCAGGTCGAAGGCTTTATGGTGCCGAATCGTCGTCGTATCATATATACCAAAACCTTATTAAGAAAACTTGTCAACACGAATTGCAATAAACACCCTCAATTTATCAGTACCATAGAAGTATCGTAAAACCATAGAGTATGAACTGAGCATCAATCTCTTGAAACAGAGGAAAAACAGCAATTTCATAGTCAAACTATGGGCTGTCCGAACTGCCCGATCGCTTTATCTATGTATGCCCGTATGCATATAACACACAATTAGTAAGGGAACGCTCAGTCTATTCTCTGTCTTATACCACAGTTTTAATAAGAGGATATAAGTGTTATGTTTAGTATTTCCTTCCGAAACCGATGCCGCTGTGGCCCCTTGACGCCCATCTAACCCGTACATAGAAATGACTAGAACCATCTTCTTATTATAAGTTCTGTGGTTTATACGTTGAGCTTCCCCTTTCCTTCAGAGAACCTCGCGCGCTGGCTTACGTTATCACCGTCTAACTGTGGCCACAATTCCAACGCGTACAAAGGACTCATTTCTTTGTCGCACTATCCGTAAATGGAATGCTCTGCCCGCTCACGTGTTCCCTCCCGCTTACAACCTGGGATCCTTTAAAAGAGGCGTGAAAAAGCAACATGCAGGCCGGTAGGGTGAGGATGGCTGGTGTGGCAGGTAAACTGCTGTATCAGCTATCTTCGCGTCTGGACTTCACCTTCACTTAACATCAGGTGAGGTGGAGTCATTTGTCGGACCTATCTATAAAAAAATCTAAATAGGTAATATTTTGTAAATGAGTTATAATTTGTCCCATTTGGTGTCCAGGTCAGAGCCCGGGCAGGAGGAGTACCGGCCGCCCGTGCCCCCGCACCGGAACGCCTCCACACCGCAGCCCCAAGTGCCCGTGCCACCTCGCAACCCGAGCAAAGTAATCATCATCATCAGCCTATTAAAGTCCCACCTGCTGGTGGCAAAGGGCTTACCGTGGATGGAATTGGGAGATTGGGCAATGACCCACCACGCGGCCCCAGTGCGGATTGGTGGGTGCTAACAACTGCAGATGCAGCCGGGCCAACGGCTTAACGTGCCTTCCGAAGTACGGAGGAGGAGAACAATAATAGATTGTCAACTCATTATATACTAGTAGTATTTCCAAATCAGTCAATTCTTTATCGTTCAATAGAATGATGATGACATTAAATATAAATTGAATTGAATTATTTTGTAGATTTTACCCGAAACCGTTATGCCGCCAGCGAGACGGAGCCACTCAAGAAACCACCACAAAAAACATGACAGAGACCACGAATCCACTAAGATTTCTCCAGAGAATTACCGCCGCTCCGACCGGTAAAAAAAACTTACATAATTATTATGCAGTAAAATCCTGGCAATCTCAACTTTACCAATTTCATGTTACTAACGAAACGTTATTTCCAGAATTATTGATTTGAATAAATCCGAGGCACCGTACATATCCAGCAGAGACATCAAAGATTACAAACGAGAGGCTAACATGATGAATCACCGGAACGATTTTGACGACAATCCAGTGGAGAAGTTGACCAACAAAGAGGATTGCGCCCGCCTATTCGAGTTCGACAACGACGCCCCCTTGATCATGGAAAACAAGGATTACAGAGAGATCGTCGGCCTCAATAGAGGTACTGACGATTCGCGACGAACCTTCGCTAAGCCGCAAAGTCCTGAATACAATATGCATGACTCCGGAATAGGTAAGGTCGCTCACTTTTCTTGTTATTGATATAACCTTGCGTGTCGGGTATAAGACGCAGTACGAAACTCTAGTGCTGACCGTTATTGCGCAGAAGTAAAAATTAAGATATCTTGGGGGGAAACGAGGTGCGCGGGTGTGCGTGCGTTGCGCCGTTTAGCTCTTCAGTCGTACCCATGCGCAGTTATCCCCTCCGCGTTTTGTTTAGCGCTAGTTACGTGCCGCGACCTGTAGTTAGCGTAATATAGTAAAATATTGTATACTGATTACGATTTGAACTCGTAGATACTAAAGATTTATTCAACAAAAACAAAACCTTTACGTCGTCTCTCACCTTCAAAATATAGGATTTTAAGTACAATAGGGAAATAAAGATAAGAAAAAAATGCTTCTATTCCCTTTTCCAAATTCCTTTATGCTATTTTCATTCATTACAAGATGGGAATACAGACCTTTATAAAGTTTTTCTTGGATGGGTTTGATATTTGAATAAATGATTTCAGGATTACCAGAAGTACAAATGAGACACAAAAATAGGTCCAAAGAGCCTAAAGGAGAGTTTGTGGAAGCCGCTGCTAATCACAATAAAGGTAGGTAAATATTTTTAGAATTTCTATTTTGTTGATTTATTAAATAAAAATATACTCTTAATTAGAACAATTAAATGGATGTAAATGGAATACGTAATGTCGGTGGTAGAACTACAATTTACAAAACTGTGTCACTAGACAAAGTTCGGGGATAGACGGCACATAAAAAAAACTGAACACAAATATAGTTCCAAACCTACGCTATACGACGCACTAGAACTATTCATTTCCAATAAGTATCTGTATTGGGTATTGTTACATCGACAGGTAGCAGTTCGCCCGAAGTGAAGCGCGCCACGATAGTCGGCAACCCGATGTTCTCCCGCGCGGAAGACGGCGACCGCACCGCCGGCGGGGAGCCGCTGCCCCTCGACGACCTGCACATGGACTACGACCAGATTATGCACTATTTCCACAACCTCAAGGTATAAACTCGCCCGCTCCGCCCTGCCCCGCCGCACCACGCTTCTAGACTAGATGTCGCTGTGTCGCTTCTACGATCACCGGCCAGCACGGTCTACCTACCTATTCGAACTATCTCGATGTTCTATATGTAACCACTCTCTTATGAATGATGTAGCCTAAATTTTGATGCATTTAAAAATGAACTTAGCGTAATATAGTATTTTATATGAACACGTACCTTTTATACGAATATAAACTTACTTACCTGAACTAACATTAATTTAACGCCGCGCAGTATTATTATAGCGTAGTTAAGTTACGAGTAAGTCACGCGTCACCACGGCCCTGCAGCAAATTTTACGAGTTTACTTACATATATATAAGTACTTCACTATGGCACTTATCATCACGATTTTTAACCATCCATTACTTAATTACCATCAACTTAGCGAGCTAGACGGCTAACTCTTCATTAGTATCTAGAACATTAATTAGATGGAACTCACTGTCTGCATAGTCATGTTTAGTGATTTCTAATTTTGCCGCAGAAAATTGACTGACGTTTTCGAATTTTTCGCAGGAATCGAACGCCTGAGTAGAGCAGATCATTGCAAAGATCCGGCAGATATTGTCTTCGTTTAAATATCAGCATATCAGCAAAGCTCCTACCACCGACGTATACAATGCACCCGATACGTCCGGGGCAGCCGCGCCCGAGGATAGTACTGTTGACGCACACAACAACAACACAACCGCCGACGCGCACATTTACCAGAACATTAACGGTAACATAGTCGCACCCACTCAGATGCTTTGCGACTCCATCGCTCACAAAAACAATTTCATGAAAAACCAACTGAAATTCTTATTGGAGCACCTGAGCGAGGCATACGAATAAACATGTTGTCAAGTCAATGTATTATCCTCAATACAATATGTGTCACGAAATGGATCCTTGCAGTGATCGAAAAAACGAAAACTATTTAAATACAAATTGTAACTGTTTTATACATACATAATAAATAATATATTATATCGTTAAAATAATACACGTTTACTCTAGTCATCAACAAAGCTGCACATGATTAATGAATTAATAGTGTGCATGTAGTTAAATACTCATTATGTCAATGATTTAATAAATAATGATAATTAGATAAATAAACATACAGTATTGTCTATGTTCGGTACTATTGTAAAACACTGTTCGCGGGCTAAGTATTGTAATACACTCATCGCCAACATGATTCTGTATAAACATTTGTACTAGCCGCTATTCGCTACTGTATCCAATATTCCCATACCAAATACAAACTATCCCTGCATTTTTTTCTAGAACTGTACATATTTCTCCATTAGAAAGTAAAAACGCTACCTCACTTTTATCTTAACTTATATATAGCTTAGCTTGTATTTACGGCGTAATCTCACGACAATGTTAATGTAAACAAAGTTGTAATGTTTAATTTTCTGATTTTTCAGTCATGGATTGTTTATTACAAAGGAGATGATTGATACTTGTATGAAATATTGAATTAAAAAACTTGGGTCGTACGCAACTCGCACGGCCACTAATCGCCAGTGTTAGGGAAGTTAGCTTGGTAAGGTTAGAGAATAAGTAACAGAACTAGTCAAATTTATTATAATATGAGCTAATAGTTTGCTCAATTCTGTTTCACTTTACTCTACCCCATCTGTAATCATCGAACTGAATAGCTTGATGTAAGTTCCTTTATGATGCCACTGTTGTTTAATTTATTGATTAAATATTAATTACTACCTACTCTATGTTCTTAATTTAATCTTATGTCTACGTATATTTATGTCTAGTTAATAATTAAAGACTTTCAAATGAATTCCAGTTATGTATACAATTTGTACGCGTAAGGTAAAATAACATAATTCAAAATAGCCCACTGATATGTAACTAACAAATTTCGACATGTGATAAAATATGACTGCTTTTGATTTACTTTACGTGCAGTCGATTTTATAAATAAAAAAGCCATATCATATAATATGAAGTCTAGTGCTTGTATAATATTGTATACACTATTTTTAATTTATTGAGGATGTAAATTGCATTAACACGTAAGTTAGTTCTTTAGGCTTTGTAAATATTGTTATGACGTTATATAATTTATAGGTACGTGGAAGGTAACAGTGGAGATATAGAAAATAAATGTGGTAGAGACGCTTAACATTATATGAACAGAGTAGTATTGCACACCGTAAGATGAGATGTTTTCATGTCTGTTACAGTTGTACACTGATAGTAAATGTTTTATTAATGTACTTATATATTGATGTGATTCCAAATAGAGCGAACACACATTTTAAGAAAATAAATTATATAATGAAAACTATTTAGCAATTGTGCAGTGACGAAGATTCCCGTTCAGCCGGAGTATTTCGCACTGACCAACTTGAACTATAGGAACTGTAAACATGATACTCTTTACTGCTAGCGTGTTGTTTGGCTTTTGACGTTAGGATAGGGGTCGAGTCACAAGACACATAAAGTACTCTACGCTGTAGTATTTGTTACTGTAACATTTGTTTTTGTTGAGTTTTTAACGTAATTATAACGAGAAAGGAGTTTATAAACAATATTAATGCTACAAGTTTATATACATGTATGCAAACTGAGGCTTGTCACGGAAAATCCTTTCATAAAATGTCAAATTTAATAAACAATATTATATAAATGATTTCGTTCGTTTCATTTGTTGACCGAAAACCGACAATGTGTGCGATAACGTGTGAGGTGAAGATTTTAGAAAGATTATGTTATACCCCTATTGCAGAAGAAAGTAAAAAACTGCTTATGTTGCATAATTACCTCCCCTACCCTTTCACTGAGTGTCGGGGGTCACGTCTATACTCGCCCAACTGCCCAACAATATACAACAATAAGCATGGAAATAATGGCATCAATGGCAGTTGCGCATTTGTAAAATCCTAATAATATATATGCATCTTTAGGTGAACAACGCACGAGCCGCGAACCGCAGCGGATGGCGGTCGCGCGGATGTTAATTTGTATAGGCTATTTATTATGCCTTATGTAACCGCGCGGGTGAGCTACACAAATTAGCATCCGCGTGGCACTTAGGCTGCCTGTCCACGGGAGCCAAGCGTGACTGCGGTGCGGAGAAACGGAGAAATATTAACCAATAAGATTGCACAAAATCTCCGCTTCTCTTCAGTGAACAGAATAAGTGCAATCCTATGGTTAATATTTGTCCATTCCTCCGCTCCGCAGCCTCGCTCCGCTCCACTGGACAGGCAGCCTTAGGCCTCTAAGAATATAATTCAATATAGGTTTGACTTTTTTATTTGATCTGAGGGCTTGAGTAGGTATTGCTCTTTAGTTATAATTACTTAACATTGACAACCTAGAGCAATGAATCTCGTTGTTTAGTTAAGTTGACAATATAAATAAGCATAGCAGCACTGTCACCGAGTTTACCCCGGCAGCCTTCTCGACGTCGCAGTATTGACGGTTTCCATTTTAAAAAAAAGAACTTATTGAAGTAGCATGAATATTTTACGAAGAAGTTCAATGGAAATTGATCACAAACTGTCCCATCGCGAAAACTGAAAGCGGGCGGCGCGCGATATCTCGGTGCCTGCTAGCTGCCCCCGCGTGGACTAGCAGTCATCTTAATTTAGGGCGCAGTGTGGTGTGTATGGGAGCGATGTTGGAGCGGAGTCGTGTAAGTGGATTAATGAAACATAAAAACTTTAGGGTTCTATCTTCAGCCCACTGTTGTTTAATTTTGCAATGAATTGCTTAAGGACATCCAGGTCCATTATTTTGTACTATGCTCTACGCTGACGATAAAATCACCGTCTTTAACTTCACTGTCACCAAAATATTCTTAAAAGGGTAGTCGACTGTTTTTTTATTATTAGTACTTGTGTGTATCATAAGGATAAATGGTTCCAAATCTAAAAAGATTTTATACAATCCATTCAAAATCAAAGAAGTAACGAGACTTCTTGGTAGAAAGGAAAAACATAAAAAAATAAAAATGCGCCACAAGTGCAAGCAAAGCTCCTACACCCTCCAGTAAAGTCATACTTCTTGTCATTGATGTATTTAAAGTACTACATAAATTCTCCTTTATTTTTAACAGACTTCCAAACAAAAAAGGACTCTTTATTTTATACGTCCTTTTATGAGTACCCTTAGCACCAACTAACACCGAATTCAAATAGTTAAATTCAATCTCGATACGCGTCAAATGTCAAGAAATTTTATATAGAAATTTGAACAGCGCCGCTACGGACATAACGAAAATTAAAAAAAAATCCAAACAAAACTTGACATTTTGAGATAGAATTCAACTATTCCAATTCGATATTGGTTCGTACTAGTGGTACAGATAAAATTTTGTTGCATTTAATTACTTAATGAACTTTCTGGTGACTATCATCATCATCATCAGCCTATTAACGTCCCCACTGCCGGGGCACAGGCCTTCCCTATGGATGAAATAGGGATATTGGATCATGACCCACCACGTGGCCCAATGCGGATGCTAACGACCGCAGGCGCAACCGGGACCAACGGCTTAACGTGCCTTCCGAAGCATGGAGGAACTCTAGATAGTTAATTTTTGGTTGCACATCCAATGACCGACCGCTGCGAAATTTGCTAACCACTTGAGCCATCGAGCTCCTGTGGTGCGTATAATAGGTTACTGACCCAAAGATTGTGAATCTTAATCAAGAGAGATATAAGATTCACAGTGGCGAATTTACAATCTTTCAAGATACAGATTTACAGTACAGTTTTTGCCGCCCTTGCCTTTACAACTGTCATGTCTAGGGCTGCCATCCGTCCGGGTTTCCCCGGATTTGTCCTAGTTTACGGGGCGTCCGGGGAGCGTCCGGGCGGGGTTTTATTTGTAGCCGGGTTTAAAAATTTACGACAACGCATGAGTGGCCCTTGGTGCTGCAAGTGTCCATGGGCAGCAGTGACCACTTATTATGAGGTAGACCGCTAGCTCTTTTGCCTAGATCAAATGTTGATATAAGAAAGATGATTGTTTGATTGATGATGATTTGTGACATTTTTAACTGTTTTTTTAATGGTCTGTCCGGGTTCTGGGCTTCAAAATCCGTTATCACGCATCTTATCCTGGTTGCCACATTTTAGAGATGGCAGCCCTAGTCTGTCCTACATCATTTATACAATCCAACAATTTCGTTGAAATTGCACGTAAAATAATTTTTGGGTACATTTTTGAGCTAATCAAAGCTCAATCATGTATGAGCAGGATAAAGTATGCTACTTACACAATAATGAACATTTGCTAAACGTGAATAAATAATCTTTATTGCGCTTACGAACAATTAAAAATAATCAACTCAGTAGTAGAAAGGAATCAAATGTAGCTACTTAAGTATATACACACGCAGCCAGCTTTTAGCATTGATTTTGTATGCAGTTATCGATCGAAGATCAGAACAAAAGAAAAAAGCCGCTACCGATCAAGCCTCGCCCCGCGCGAAATATAATTATTATTTACTTAGGCACCTATTATAGATTTATTATTAGAAAATAATGGTTCACGGTTTATGCATAACGTTTATGTTTATGAAATTAAATGATTTTATTTTTATATTTGAGTTGATTGAATGAAAGGTAAAAAACTACATACTAGATCTCGTTCAAACTAATTTTCGGTGGAAGTTAGCATTGTAATGTACATCATATAGTTTTTTAGTTTTGTCATTGTCTTATTTTAGAAGTTACAGGGGGGGGGGGGGGGCACATTTTACCACTTTGGAAGTGTCGTGTCTCGCATAAACTATTCAGTTTAGAAAAAAAAAATATTAGAAACCTGAATATCATTTTTGAAGACCCATCTATAGATACCCCATACATATGGGTTTGATGAAAAAAATTTTTGAGTTTCAGTTCTAAGTATTGGGATCCCCCAAATTTTTTTTTTATATTTTTGTGTTAAAATCGTATTGCGGTTCACAGAATACATCTATCAAGTTCCTATGTTGTGTGAAGTCTAGACATGCGCAAATCATGTCGTCTATTGAATTGCACATGGAACGTTTCCTTTACATTTCGAAACCATGTCCGTTAACATTTCCCTTAAGCGTTTCACTTTCACAGTGCATTGTTTGATAAATACAAACAACACTATGAGGTACGAAAAAAAGATCGCCCCCCTCTGTCACATCAAAAATGTTTCTTATCAGTCAGTTATACAGTGTCATAGTGCGAAAAAAAATGTACCTGCCTATTGCCGCCCTAGGCTCTAGCCTACTCAGCCTGCTGGTAAATCCGCCACTGGAGTCACAATGGGATATCAAAGTTTTGTTTAACTTGACCTGTACTATTTGGTACAAGATTGGAAAAGTTTTGTTTTTAACAGTAATTACAATAAAAACTATTATAGTTACTTATTAATGCATTCATTTATTTCTACAACACTTATTTTTTAAAGTTATTATAACAAAATTTATAAATATTTACCATGCCAGCGATGATCAAACGGTGAAAGGAATTTATGACATCCACCCATGTTGTTTTGAAAAATATATTTTAAAGTGTAAGGGTTCTGGTTATTTTCTTCTTGCCATTTTTCTAAGGCAGCTTTCTGTTCCATTATCTCGTACGATACTGCTTCTGCTTTGAATGGAAGCCTCTCTGCTACAATTTTAAGCATGGTGTGTACCTGAAATAGTAGCATAAAAAATTTACATTCTTAAACTTCAGCACCAGATCAACACCGACTCACAGGGAGTAGTAGCCGTCAGTCAGTAGACAAGTGGACTAGAAACCGCACATACATAAACAAAGCTACTCATTGAAAGTATTTGTGAACATTACCAAGTCAACAAGGAACCATTATATTTTTATAAACCATCAATAGTTTATATAGATTAACAAACAAAAATACATTTAGTTCTGTCATATTAAAAAATTGGTGTTAATGATCAAACTCCTCATACTTGAAAATATAAATTTACTGCTAGAAAGTACTATAAAAAAATTACTATAAAAATTAACTGTAACTTTTTTTTACCTCAGCATATTCACATTTGCCACCAACTTCTAAGATAATTCTGCCACTTTTTATTGGGGTCACATAGTGATCAATGGCTCCTTTGCCACCACCCATACGTTGTCCTTGTCCCTTCTTAGTAATTGGTTGCCAGGGAGGGTCGATTCTCCAAATTGCAAACATTCTCTTTTGATCCAACCTGCGAGCTACTACTAAACGTGCCATTTCAAAATGTTCAATCTTCATACGTCCTCCACCAGTAGCCTGCAAAAGAAAAAGTTGTGTTTGATCATAATGATGTAGTCATTTAGCAAATGGTAAAAAATGGTTTTAGGAAATTTTAAATTGTTATTGAATAAACTACAACAACTTGCCGATATACTATTAATTTGTTTAATAATAACCGAAAGCACTCAGGATCAATCCAATATTTTTTCAAGCATTAGAAATATCCTTGAGAACTTTTAATAAGGTTAATCACAATAAAATTAAATAAACGCTAGTTTCTGTTACAAAATTATCAATATAAACTTTTAAGTACTTACAACAACTCCATATTGCTTTAATTGTAAAGTATTGTGTAATTTTTCTGGACCTCTCATATATCTAAGTCGCTTTTGCATCTTTGGAGGTTTCAAATTTGGAGGATACTGTGGCACTTTCTCATATACTCGTAACCTTTGACGCTCAGGTATTTCAATATCTGGTAAATAATAAATAAAAATGCCTTTATAAAAGCTACCAGTTTATAAAATAAGGTTGAAAATTTGTTTTTTTTTCTTTATTGATAATGTAGCATGTCAGTGACACAAAGCCTCTCCCAGCCTCTACAGGATGTCCAGCTGATACTCGGATCTTTGGAGAAATCCTGCCTCTAATCTTCTCCACTCAGATCTGTTTAGGGCTTTTCTTCTCCAGTAAACTCCCACCGTCTGTTTAAGCTCGTCTGCCCATCTAATAACTAGCCATGCTTCTTTTTCCATGTCTGGGGTACCAGTTGGTAACAACTTTACTCCATTTTTCTGATTGGTTACATATTATGTGGCCTGTCCATCTCCATATTTGTTGGTCTATTCGGGTCAGGATGTCAGTAACTTTGGTCTTCCGTCTGAGATCTTTGTTTTTCCATCTCTCTTTGTTATTCCTAACATACTTCTCTCCATAGCTCTATGACAGTATTCAAGTTTATCTCGGTGTTGTTTTGTTAGTGACCAAGATTCACATCCATATGTCAGGCATGGTAGGATACAGGTATTAATTACTTTTGTTTTCAGTGATAAGCTTAGGTCTCTAGCTTTGGTATAATAAATAAAACTCTACAAATAATATCAAAACATAAAGAAAATTCAGCTAAACTATACTTACAGGACCAGTGCCGGCGAAAAGCCACAAAAAAGTATATTAAAACAGACCTTTTCTACAGAAAGAAAAACAAGAACTCTTGGGCCCTGGAAGTACAGTTTTACCCAAAATTCTGTCAAGTCTAGTTATGAAAGGAATCAAGAAAGCAAAAGTAACATGTTCAAGTGGCTCTTGTTTCTCTCTGCCTACTCTTATAGAGAAATCCCATAATATATTTTATATTTTGACCATAATTGAGATCCTGTCTCTACTACAGAGATCACAATTTTAAAGTACATGATGATGGTGCTGACAAGATAAAGTAGACTAAGGGATTCATCATAGAACAAGGTACATCGGTTTTCTGTGCGATGCAATAATTGTTATCTAATGACGAGTCCCGCACTGAGCCGAAGAGCTTTTGAGTGTTGTAATGAGCGTTTTTGGTATACAAATCAAGATATTGCACACAATTTGACAATCACTTCAGTCTCTTTTAGATACTTTTAGGTATACTTACGATCATAGTTTTTAGGTGGTGGAAAATACTTTATACCGGCAATATTTGTTACATCAATTCTTTCAGGGCGAAGTAAGCCTAAAATGTAAAATAAATCAATTATTTTTTCGACTTCGTTCCGTAATTCATTTCTATCAGATAATTCTATGATCGGCTTGTGTTATTTACCCATTGCGAAACGTAGTGGTCGTAAGAATTGCATTTTTATTTATTTACTTAGGACAAATTAATAAGAATTTATGTATTTAAACAATTAACCATTCTAAGAATAGGTTAGTTTCAGGTTAGTTTTTTTTTGTTGAAGTTCTCCCGTTTTAGAAAAGGCAAAGGGAACAACGCCCATACAGCCTAGTCTTTAATTAAATTAATCTTCTTATTGTTATTACATTAGAATGTCGGTATGACGCATTCCAATGTTTCTTGGAGTGTTTGGCACGAAATGTATCGAGTTGGCTTTTTCGATAAGCCTCTGTGAAGTAGTCAACACTACAATAAAATTCTCACGTTCACACGACCGGAATAGCGTATATTTTAACGATTCCACTAATTCTACAGTTACGCAGACGGTTTTTACACAAAACTACACCAATTTTATTTCACAATATCCACTATGAACGAATTTAGGAATAATTAAAATAAGACGCCAACCGCACTCGATGAAATCCCGCCAAAAAACCCATTTTCTTTTTAATTCTTTACCCACCAATGGAGAAGTATACGTCAAGCTCAACATAGATGGCGCTGCAAACGCTTGACCCGAAAAAGCGCGGGAAACTTCCAACTTGGCGGACGCATTCTTTTGGCTTCTAAAAATATTTACTTAATTAAGGTTAAAATAGTGATCAGCGGATAGGTTTGTCTATTAATATTGTACATATATTTAGTGTATTTCTGTATTTATTGTCCCTGCTGCCTTGGTAAGTCGAAATTTGATTATTATCTTATAGTTGTATGAACGTCCCCCCGGAGCCGGGGGGATGTGTCCCCCCGGCTAGTAATTTTGTTACCATTACTTCAAATAATGAATCTGGTATGGAAACAGATGGTTCCATGTCCAGTCGCACATTAAAACGGAGCCGGCTCCATGTTTGCAAACATTGCAACAAAAAAAGGCGCAAACATTCCTCGTCAGAACCTAAAGTTACAGATTGCAGCTGCTATGAATCCACCGCAACGCCAGTCCAACAAGAATCAAATAGCCTGAGTGTCAATGACTCTAAAACTTCTCCTGTGTCCATACCCTCCCCAGTACTGATTCCTATAGGTAGGAAGTTTTATAACAAAACCGATGCTTCACCTTTTGTAGTGCATGTACAGAGAGAGCAAGATTCATCATCAGACGGAATCACAATGCATCCCATGTCGTTTGGTAAATTTCTCAAACAAAACTCTTTTTACAATATAATTAATGGAAGTGTAAAAAAGATTGGGCGAAATAAAATGCAAGTTTCGTTCTCAAAATTTACTGATGCAAATAATTTCATCAATCATAGTAGTTGGTCAAAAAATAATTTAAAAGCATATATTCCAACATTTAACATTACACGAATGGGTTTAGTTAGAGGTGTCCCTGCAGAGTGGTCTCTGGAGGAAGTTAAAAGTAACATTTCTGTTCCCATAGGTTGTGGTGAAATTCTGAAAGTAAGGAGACTAAATTATAAATCCTTTGTAGATGGTACTCCTACCTGGAAGCCATCCCAAACTATAGTTTTAACCTTTGATGGCCAAATTTTACCAAAACGAATTTTCATGTGTTACAATGCACTCAATGTGGATCTGTAGATATTTCCTACAATTCATTGTTATCATTGCTGCCGTTTCGGACATACTAAGGCTCAATGTAGATCAAAACCTAGATGTTTTAAGTGTGGTCAAAATCATACAGGCGAGTCATGTAATATCACAGAGGAAGATGCACTCTGCTGCTGGTGTGATGGGCATCACTATGCCAATAATAAATCCTGTCCAGAATATGTTAGGCAATCCCAAATTAAATTATACATGGCACAAAACTGTGTATCATATGCAGAAGCATCAAAATTACTTCCACCTATATCTAGTTCCTATGCTGACTTTAATGACCCCTTCTACAAAAATATCGAATGAATCTGTGAATAGTAATATTACTATATCATGTTTGCAGATGATAGTACTATAATATTTGAATGTAAAAATGAAAATGATTATGAACTTTCAATAAATAATGACTTTGATAAAATTATGAAATGGATGCAAAATAATAAGTTAACTGTTAATTTGGACAAAACAAAATCGATGACGTTTAAACAAAGAGAAAGCAAGAAGATTATTGAAGTAAAAATAGAGCACTTGGGAAAAAAAGTAGAAGAAGTAAATACTACCAAATTTCTTGGAATATACATTGATAATAATATGACATGGGAAACTCATTGTAATTATGTATGTGAGAAGCTAAGTAAATTTTCTTATGCCTTGTATATGCTTAATAAAATAGCTGACCGTTCTGCACTAATGACAGCTTATCATGGATACGTTGCGTCAATACTGAGATATGGCATAATTTTTTGGGGAAATTCTAGTAGTAAAGACAGAGTTTTCAAAGGACAAAAAAGATGTGTGAGAGCAATAAGTCGACTTCGCCCTACAGACTCTTGTTATCCTCTTTTTAAAGAATTAAATATTTTGACTGTACCTTGTTTATATATATTTGAAGTATGTGTCTTTGTTAAAACGAATCTAAAATTATTTTACAATATGTTTACATCTAAAAGACACAATGACAAGTTGTGTCAAAAACCTCATAAAACTGCTTTGTTTGGAAATAGTTTATATGGCGTTGCTCCGATAGTATATAACAAGCTACCACAAGATATAAGACAAATCGATAATGTGATAAAATATAAAGTGACCCTAAAAAAGTTTTTAGTAAATAAAGCTTATTATACACTAAAGGAATATTTAAGTGATGCTGAAATTTAAATTATTATTATGTCATTAACTTTATGAACAAGATTGATTATTATATTGTTTGACATTGGATTATTATATTGTTTGACATTGAGATTATTATATTGTTTGACATTGAGATTATTATATTGTTTGACATTGAGATTATTATATTGTTTGACATTGAGATTATTATATTGTTGGACATTGAGATTATTATATTGTTTGACAATGATAATGTGAATTTGTTTATATTATGATCAATGAATGGAATAATTGTAATAAGTTTTTTTTTCTCGACATGTCAATTAATTTGCACACCCCATTGGGTAAGAATATAGGATGCTCTTTATCTCTGTATCACCATTTGTAACCATATTCTGCAAATAAAGATTATTATTATTATTATTACTAATACTAACATAAACCACACAACATCTTATAAAAAAAACTATTTTTAAGAAACCGCGTAATACTCCTATTTTTTCAAAAGGCTATGATACCATAGCCCATAAAACTATATTGAAGGAATTTGCAATTCCTACCCCTAACAATGGCTGTGGTCTAATTGCAAGTGATGACAGTACATCCTCAACGAGTCAACTCCCTCCTGATTTTATTACAGCTCTTTTCAATGTGTTTACTCAATTCAATATCCTTCCACCGTCCAACGTTGCTCAGATTACTAGAAATAACATTCAATTCAATAATGGACAGACAAACAGACAAGATAATACAGTGGAACTGCCGTAGTGCTATAAGTAAAAAAAATGAAATTATTCATTTAATAAATAAATTTGAGCCTTCTGTTCAAGCCTTGTCTGAAACATGGCTAACATCTCAAAGAAATTTTAAAATTAATGGATATCATACTATCAGAGAAGATAGAATGGATGGCTATGGTGGAGTAGCCATTCTCATTAAAAATGGTGTTATTTATGAACCCATTACCTTAATAACACATAGTGAAGAAATTTCAATGATTGCAGTGAAAGTTCACAACATGTGTTTAGTATCTATTTATTTATCTCGCCCATCATCTCCAATTTTTAATGAAATAAATAACATGTTTTCATCACTCTCTAAACCCTTTCTAGTACTAGGAGATTTTAACTGTCACCATCAAGCGTGTGGATGTACAGTTACTAACAATTATGGTGAAAATTTGTTAGATATTATGGAATCACATAACTTATGCTTTTTGAATACAGGATCCCCCACTCGTCTCACCAGTCCTAACCTTAATGCAAGTGCTGTGGACTTACCAATCTGTACCACAAATCTAGCTTCTTCCTTATCTTGGCATACTCTTCCTTCTGCATATGAAAGTGACCATTTTCCTATTGTTATATCTTTACCCTTTAAAACGCCTAATAACTTTAGATGGAAAACTATAAGAAGATATAATTTGCCAGATAAAAATCTATAGACTAGAATAAGTACAAATCTCCTGTTGAAAATAAATTATCATCTCTCCCTATTATCACGCCCGGAAATGAAAACAGTTGTGCAGAGGCATTAGCTAGGATTTTAAATGAAGCTGTCATACAATTGTTTCCTATTAAAAATATTACCCACATGAAAATACCATCTCCTCCTTGGTGGGACAAGGATTGCTCGGAGGCTGTGAGGAAGAGAAAACAGGCAGAAATCATGTACAATACTAATATGACAGAATTTAATTATGATAACTTAAGTAAAGAAGTTACTGAAATTAAAAAAATATTTAAAAAGAAAAAATTCGAAAGCTGGATAAACTTCTGCAGTTCTATTTCACCAGACACGCCCCCTACCCTGGTCTGGCGTAACATAAAAAGATTTAAATCCGCTTATAATACTTCCTCTCCTGTCACTATGCCTCCTGCATTAGTTAACGATTTTATGGACAAATTGGCCCCACCGTGGGCTCCCATTCCCATGCTCAATACCGTAAAATACCGTAGGTGCAGCATTTTTGGATATAAATTCTGCATATGATCACGTATTATTATCAGTTTTGAAAAGTAAACTAGAGATACTAGAGGTTCCTCAAATGTTAACAAATTTTATTATGAACATACTAGCCGAACGAAAATTAATAATTAGCTTACCGAATAGTCTTGAAATACAAAGAACTGTATGGAGAGGCTTGCCCCAGGGATCAGTTCTTAGTCCTTTACTTTACAGTGTATATACTCACGATTTTGACACTTTATTTGAAAATAATATTAAGTTGTTGCAATACGCTGATGATTTATTGATTTATTCTACAAACCGTCACATAGATAATTTTATTCTACTTCGCATATTAACTCAGCTTTGCGTTCCTTGAGTTCTTGGATGAACGATAACGGTCTACAATTATCTGCTTCAAAAAGTACTATCGTAATATTCTCACGAAAGAAGAACCCCCATCCCGTTAAAATTTATTATATTAATATATTAATTCCCATTGAAACCCCAAGTAAAATTTCTGGGAGTCATTTTGGATTCCAAACTTACCGGAAGTGCACATTGTGATTTTATTATAAGTAAAAGTGAACGACTTTTAAATCTTCTCCGATGTCTTTCAGGAGTTTGGTAGGGGGCCCATCCGCAATCCTTAAAACTAGTGTATAATGCATTAGTCAGAAGTGTACTGGACTACGGAAGTTTTCTCCTAGAACCTGCCAATTCTACTGCACTGAAAAAGCTAGATAACGATCAGTCGAAAGCGTTAAGAATAATAACTGGTGCTATGAGATCCTGCCCAATAAATGCATTACAAATTGAAACTTGTGAACCCCCACTTAATATTAGACGTCAACTTCTTGCTGACAGATATCTATTCCGTTTACTTCAATTTTCCAACCATCCTCTTTTAAATCTACTTTGTTCTTTGAATGAAGAAATAACATCAGCAAGTTACTGGGCACATAAATCTCTCCCATATTTGATAGTTAGTTATCGAAAGTTTATAAGTATACAATCACCTATACACCGAACAAACCATCTTCCCATTTTTACTATTGATTATGATGCCTTAGAAATAGCACCAACTATTCAATATGATATAATTGATAAAAACAATGCACACCCAACTATAACCTTCAAATCAATTATAGATACTGAATATGACGACTTTCATAATATATTCACTGATGCTTCTAAGTCCTCTCCGTCTAAGTGTACAGGTGTAGGAGTATTCCACTCTCAGTTTTCTATTGTTCAAAAAACTAAACTTCCTCCGGAGACATCTGTTTTTACCGGAGAATGTATTGGTTTATTAAAGGCTGTTGAATATATTTTTGTTATGAAACTCCGAAAAACTGTAATATTTTGCGATTCAATGAGTGTTCTTCAAGCCCTAAATAAATTCCCTTTCCGTACTAAATCATATTTTCCTGTAATATTTGAGATAAGGAATTTTCTAAATAAATTCATGAAAATGGGATACATGGTAGTGTTTGCATGGTTCCCGAGTCACAGTGGAATTCAAGGAAATGAAAAATCCGACCAGTTAGCAAAAGAGGCAATGCATTGTGGTGACGTGGTTCCTTATAAATGTTATAGCCATGACTTGCTATCTCTACCATTGTGCGATTTGCGAAGTGAATGGCTTAAAAGTTGGGCAAGTAGTGCACAAATAAAAGGAAGATACTATTTTACGATACAGCCTACTAACCCTTTAAAGCCATGGTTTCGTAAAGTTAAACTTGGTAAGACTGCTACTAGCATATTAACGCGCATGAGACTTGGACATGTTACTACACCAGCACATCTCTCTAAGCTTGGAATCCTACTTGCGGGTGCGGAATGGACACAGGGGATCTTAACCACATCCTGTTTTCCTGCCCTCTATACAATCGATATTCTTTTTTAAATGGTCTCATTTCTTTAGATGTTCCTTTTCCAACATCCGTAATAACCCTACTCTTCTCTAATAATTTACAGATTTATAAATGTATAGCATCTTTCATAATGTTAAATAATATTAGAGTGTAATCATCTCTTTATCCGTATTTTATGTATGTATATTTATATATAAATATACAAATTCTGTCTCCTGATCCTATCCTCTAAATTTCCGATCCAACATGCATCAATTTCCTACTAATGTTTCCCTACCTTTGACACTGGCAATGCACAAATCGTGTCGTGCCATATAAAAAAAAAACGCTTGACCCAAACCATAGCCGAATTTTATACAGCTGTCGGACATCGGAAAGTGCACAAGAACTGGAACCATTACGAAAAAGTCCGACTGAATTAGCCGTGCGCTTGTAACTGACTGAATCAGTAACTAAACTATTAGAAAAGTGTAATCAGAAGCTTTTAATTAGCCTTCTTTTTAGGATCCTAACTGGGACGTCTGAATTTAGTCAGGTGGAATAAGCACTTAAACTTAGACTAGTTCACAGACTAGTTAGAGATATAATTGAGTAACATGAACAGAAGACGATGTAACTAGTCCATAGACTAGTTACATCGTCTTCTGTTCATGTTACTCAAATGCCATTTGTCATTCAGTAGACAGAGACAAAACATAGAGTAACTTATCCAGGCGTAATCTTCGTTTATTAATAAGGGGGTAAGAGTTTAATTCTTAATCTCTAATAATTGAATTTTGATTTTATTTGTCTTTGCATTGGGGGAGAGGTGGGGGGGAGGGAGAGGTCTCAAATCGTGCGTAAATGAACATAGTTTAAATGATAACAAAGCGATTTGGCGGTTTGTTCAGAAATTATATCATTTTGGGGAAATATAAAAATTAGTTAAGGGGATCAATCACAAAATTGCATCTGGCAATTCTGATATGTTAAAAAAGACTTTTTTTTTGTGCAAGATATCATCGAATGCGGTAGGCGCCTTCATTTAATTCTTCATAGTGGATATTGTGAAATAAAATTGGTGTGATTTTGCGTCACAACCGTCTGCGCAACTGAATAATCAGTGGAATCGGTTAAAATTACGCTGGTCCGGTCAAGTGAACGTGCGAACTTTATTGTAGTGTTGACTACCTCGCAGAAGAAACACTCCCAGAAACATTAAAATGCGTCACACCGACACATTTTAATGTAAAAAAGATTAATAAAATTTAAGACTAGGCGGTATAGTCATTGTTCCCTTTGCCTATCTTGAACTGGGAGAATCTTAAAAAAATGACATTTAGTTTAGCGGGCGGCAACGGCAACCACTATTTGTAAATAAAAACTTATTAGGTACTTTGTTTCAGGCAGCTCAACATACTATACCTTAATTTTCTTTCTGTTTTTCCCAAATCCGAGGTCCTTGTACTTGTACAAAGCCCTTCCACAGCATAAGTAGAGTTAAAAACAATAAATAAACAATCGCTCACCGAACAAATCTAGACAAGAAATTTTTGCACACAAGCACCAGATATCCTGAGGGAGCCATCACTGAAGAAATATAATCTAAATAGAAACTAGTTTCTAAAATGAAATATCGGAATATGTTGTTCTTGCAGAAATGTCTTTATTTTAATGCGTATATATTTCTAGTGTGGATTGTAGTTGTGTCATTTTTTCTTTATATGAAGGTAAATAGTGACAAATATCTTGCAAAAAATGTTATGTTCATTCGAAATATTGTAACTTTTATTGTATACTATCTTGAATTTACAGCTTGGTATCCTAGGACATCTCACAAAATATCTTACTGTAACAGTATTCACTTTACTGATTATTATAGAATTAACAAGATTGTATCTTGGTCATTATGGGAATTTATCGTGTCAAGTAAGTTTATGAGTTATATATATTATTCACCATTCATTTTTTAGTTTAATATATGATCACGTTTTACTTAGTTACCCAAATGAAAATACCTGTTACTATTTTTTAGGTGCCTGAACTGGCGGGGTTCCTTATGCTTACAACTTTGATGCAAATGCCGCTTATCAACTTCTTTCTCTTCAATCCGTATCTGCTGAGCACACCTACGGAAATAATTCTACATGGCATTTTATGGGTATTTTCTATTTTTGAAGTAGTGTTTAGTTTTCTTGCCCTTAGACAGGCATCATCAATAGCTAAGAGTATCTATCTACAGCATTGTAATGATTGACAGACACTTAGTAACTATAATAACATTTAGTTGGAAAAACCTTGAAAGAATATTCACATATGTAAAATCATAATAAAATCTAATTTTATAGATTTTGGGTTTCTTTTTATATAGATCATGATCAGTATGTTACTAAGTTTAGAGAATTATGCAGAATCAGTCCTCTGAAGTATTATCATAATACTTTAAATATGTTATGGCAATCTAAGTGAAAGGCAATTAGGAGTATCCTGTTTATAAGAAATCTGTACCTATGTGGGTGGATTTAGAATGAAAAATCAAAAATATTTTTGAAAAAATTTATTCCACAGTATTTTACAACTTTCATATCCACTTATATGAAAATTTATTAAATAAAATATTTCTTTCTGGATTGATGAGGCTGAGGTTTCATAAATTTCATTTGATGGCTTATGTACCACCTTTATATCTACATTACTTATCCTAAAGTTTTATTAAAGCAAAATTTCTTACACATTATTAGCATCTTTACTTTTTAGGATTATTGATTCTCATTCAGTATTAAAATACTTTATAGGATAATTAGATGAGAACTATACAGTGGGTTTTAAAATTTGGTATTTATTATTTTTCTTTACTCTGTTGTCAACCATTCTTAAAGGCACTAGGATATTCAAAAAATAAATGAGTAATAAGATTAAAAATATTGATAATATTAAAATTTTGGTGTATTGTTTACAATCACTGAGTTCACTAAACAGTTTGTGTTATCAGTTCAAATTCATAATATATTATTTAAGCACAAAACGATATAATAAATATAACTGCTGAAAACTAATCATATTATCATACAATTATGATATTGTTTTACAATTTACCACTAACTGAACATTTGCTAATAGCATAGAAGCAGGGTAAATAGTTTTTAATTAAAAATACATAAATAGTTGATTTTTTGTTGATATAACCAACCCAATTATTAGAAACCAATGATAGATAAACAACCTACAAACTGTCAAATGACATTTTTGGTACTATATTACTACAATTAATTACATTTGACAAATTATGCATTAATACATTCAATTTATGAAAATCAATTATTGAAATAAATTATGCTCTTTGAAACAGTCATCTATTTTATATCTAACCAAATGTAGTTTGTTATTGAAACTTGTTAATCTTAATTCAAATCCTCTAACATCCTTGTCAACTTCTAGTGATTTCATTATTTGACTATATGTTGGAGACATTTTGCAGATGAGCTGAAATAAATATGTTTATTGTTGTTTAACAGTACAATTAGGTATACATTTTTTAATCATTATAAGTCATAAACTTACAGCAAACAGTTGTTGTGTAATCCAGTTATGGTATTTTTTTACAGATTCCTCATATGCTATTATATATATTTTTGTCATGTTTATATCCTGTTCATTGGCTTGAAGGCATTTTAAAATCTCTTGAAATATTATTTCAAAGAACAATATAGCTCTGGAAATTCATGTATTCTTTAACTTTTGTGGTGGAACTGAATATTAATAATAAAGAATTCATAATTTTAAATAACTTTTCAAACTAGCTTATGATAATTTTTTCCACCCTGAGAGTTTTCACTTTTCAATTGTTTTTTAGTAGCTACTCTTCTCTAAACCAATAAGTACAATACTTTTGTCACAGATATCATTCTATCTTAGTGTTATAAAAGATACAAGAGATAAGCATGCTTAAAAGTGACTCACAAAATGTTCTAAACATATTCATACATAAGTGTAATATGAAAATCAATATCTGAATTTCTCTGTTAATGAAAAACCAAATTGTCAAAAATACGTTTTTCTCACCTATTGAGCCATAAAACTCCTTCGGTGCCGGTGCATTTGCCACTATTAACTTCGTCAAGCATTACTTCTAGTAAACATGATGTCTCATCAAATTCGAAGAACTTTGCTATTTTCTAAAATATTAATCATAATAATTGCATTTAGCAGTATAATGGTTATGCCCTTTAATTAACTACTAAATGCAATTATTATTATATTATTTATTTTTACTCACATCAATGTTTCCTTGCATGTCATATTTTACAGGCGCGAACAATTTCCCGAGACGTTCTGTAAATACGGTCTACTTTGATCCATTAAAGACTTAGATTATTATTAATGATTTAACTAGGTGTAAAAAAACAGAATAACTATGAATAATTACGTACCAACCAGTAATACCAAGTCATTTGCAGCAGCTAAGAAATTTGTAAGATTAATTCTTCCATCTATTATAGGTGGAAATTCTTTTAAGTTATGAAAAAAAGGTGTATCAGTGTTACTTGTACTAGCCATTTTATAAATACAGTAAAAAAATATTAGATATTTGTCACCTCAGTTTAATCATATTAATGTCGACAGCAGTTTCATGTTATCATTATTTTATTGATAACTGTGAATGAGTCAGTAAATGATAGAAAAGATAAAAATTTATAGATTTCCGGAAAGTAAACAAAAATTTAAAGATCATTTTCACGTCTAAATTCTGTCACTGTCAAATAGGTATATTGTTGCCATATTTAAACAATCCTTTCAAGATAATGCACGCCGTTTTTAATGTTATATTTTGGTTTATCGTTACATATCCATTATTAGCATTTATGCACAATTTAGTTGCAATAATTATGTACAACATTAAATAAAATAAAAGTCCTCTATATTTAGTGCCTATGACACATTCTCAATATTTTACATCTCTCTTTGGACTTTTAATAGGTACCTACTTTTTTTTCTCTCACTTTATTGTCATCCCAATATTAGGCAGTTTTTCCTTTCAAATTCAATATGAAAAAGTTTGTTTTAACACATTGCCTAAATCGTCCTCTACTACGATAGTCAAGACTTTACTTTTTGGAGAAAAAGTAAAAGGCACCAGAAATCTTTTTTCTGGTAAGGGATTAGTGAATTCGTATGAGTCTAATACCATGCCATTTGATTCATCACGCACTTCTACAATTCGAATACCAGCAGTCGAAATTATCATCATTTTGTTTTTATCAAATTTTAAATATCTTGTGATTGCTTGTCTTTCTCTTCCATACTCATTATTGAACCACCTATGATATGACAAAAGAACTGCGCAGTTTCTGGCCCAATAGATAGGATCATTTCCATTCACGCGATTCATGTTTTTCTTAGAGTCTGACAATTTATTTGTTATATTTGAATACACACTTGATGGTCTTGTTATCGGAGTAACATTTGGACTTCTTCTTACAATATCGGACTTGGACATTGATGCAAAATTTCCCAGTGTTGTTTTACTTCTCGGACCTAATATTCTTAATGGTTCTGCCACATTCATTGTTACACTAATATTTCTTTGAAGCGAAACTGTAGAATGTTGAACTGGTTTTCCACTAAAATTATTCATATTGTCTTTTATTAATGATGATTTTCTTTCTCCGACTATGAATACACGATCAATATTGTCAAATCCGCGTCCCATTATCCCGTCTTTTGTGTGCCCTAAGTCAAAAGTATGACCAAGTTCATGAAACACTGATCCCAAAGTTGTCGCAAAACAACCACCGAGAGTTCCTCGATAACCACTGTCGTCCATAAATCGTCGAGTATTAACAGGCGTGCTATCTGAAAACTTAGGTATAATTTCTTTTATTGTGGTAGGCCATGTATATAAACATCCAGTTCCAAAAAGGGCAAGACCTCCTCCACCTAATGCTGCGTAGGCTTCTGTTAGAGAAACAATTTCATCGTGAGACATTGGCTTGTCAATATCAGTGCCTTTAAATCGTGTACAAGACACAAATCCTAAAAATTTCCTTTCGTTGCTTCCTAATTCTGATAGCATTAATTCCCTGCCAAAATGTGTCCATAATTCAGCCTGTTTCATTTTCCTTGCTTTATTGACGTTTAGACTACTCCGAAATATGATACATTCCGGTTTTTTAGGATCAACTTCATGTTCTAATTGGAATGTTTTTCTACCTATACCACTTTCAAAAAGCTTTTCAGCTGTTATGCTCTGGATTAGCTTTGCACCCAGTGAAATTTTAGAACAGGCACTTTCTATCGAGCAATCAACTTCAGGCGGACTTTGGAAACATCCGTCATGGCCTTGACAAATTATGTAAACAGGGGTAACTCTGAGATTTGTGTTTCGAGGGATGTATTCTAATAATAATAACTTTTTCTGTCCCATATATTCCAATTCGATAGTGTTATAACTTTTTTTCAATTCAACAAGCACTTTGAATTCTCCATTAAATACATTCCATTGCGATTTGTTTTTGGCTTCATCACTTAAAATTGTACTAGTTAATTTTTCTTGATTGTTAGAGTTACCTTTGGTTATAAATCCTTTTAACAAGACAAGAGAATAATTTACGGTTTCACCATTTTGGAAATTCGTTACGAATATTGAAGAGTTGTGTTCTTGGTTATTTGCCTCGTTCATGCAGTTGTCCATTACCTGAAATTCGTTCGACACTGTTATACGATCTAATGAAACGATATTAAGTTGACCTTCAAAGCTTAAACGTGAACCTTCACGATTTTTCTCAAATCGCTATCCATATAATTATATTAAGGAATTAAAATTTAGCGTCGAATATCCGTCTGTCATTTAGCGTTGGTTACAGCCGTCTTTCACGTAATGAAACATTATAGCGTACTTGACTGATAGTATATATTTTTATCCATGTCTAACGCGTAAAGGTCGTCACATATGAATAGTTTCGCACTCAGTAATGACTCACCATGATGCAGTTAGCGTGGAGCGTGTAGAGTCGGCGCGGGAGGACTGCGGGTGCGGGCGGCGCGGCAGTGACGGCTCGGAGGCGACCATTTACAGGCGGCGCGGCGGCGTGGAACTCGTTCCTCCTCACTTCCCTCTTGGTCGAATGCTCGATCGGCCTGTGTGCGCATGCCTGCTGATGCAGGCCGACGCGTCTCCGTAACGATTGCGTTTGCCAGACAGGTACGCGACTGGTTGTCTACGTCGACAAGAGGGAAATTTGAACAATGCAGTACCCAAACATTACGAGTTTACGTCACTGTTGTTTTTATGGACTTGATACTTACTGCTCAATAACTTTGAATTAAGATAAACTTGTGGCAATGCTTACTCCTATTTTTCTATTGCACATAAGTTGATATACTTTGTCCTGGTACAAAAAGTACTTCTTCCTAAAAAGTTTTTGTGATAGCCATATTTTAACATCTGATATTTCAAAGAAAAGTTTGATATAGCGAAATGATGTACAGCTCTCTTTTTGACTTGATAAAGAACTCAAGATTTCAATAAACTTTCAAATAATATTAGTAAGCTAAGCAATTTTTCCAAGACTAACTTTATTCTGAGCAAATTCACATAACGTCGTCAAATCTAATATAAGACGCGACGGCGCTTACTGCTGTAGACTGCTGTTAAAGAAGCTAATTCTGATTTATGTCAAATAAAAAAAGGATGACGAATATTTTAATCAAATTAAGTAACAACTGTTGTTAAATAAATCTCATTTTCCCATGGTCAACTTGAGAACGACTTTACGGCGGTTTTCATCTATTTCATTTACAGTTTCCTATCCTAATGCATTTAAGAAAATTCTCAAGAAAAAATATTAAGAAAGTTGCGTAGAAAATTAGAAATTTCATGAAAAAAATACTTGCAACTGTCCTGTATAGATGGCGCAGCAATCGGGTTTTAGCACGGTTTTAGAATATCTTTATATTTTTTTCGGGAAGGCAGGACAACGTTTGTTGGCTCCGCTAGTAATAAATAAATTATTTTGAAGTCAATGTACTTTTTGGTGTTACCTCTTTTCTTGTTATGTGGTGATCGAAAGCGAATGTAACTAAACTTTGGGATAGGCTTGTAGTTATCAAAATTACCCATGGACTCGGTAATGAGTTAACTCACTGAGACCGCGGGTAAACATTGGAGTGATTAGCGCATGGTTTGATGTGAAGTTCACATTCCTATGCCCAAAATATCAACACTAATTTACAAAAAATAGGATACATATATTTAAAAAAACTTTGCAACCAGAAGCATGCTCGAAGTTTGGTTTTTGACATGCGTTGGGGGTGGGGCTGACTAGGGTTGCCAACCCTGCTATATAATATAGTATCCTACTATATCAGGGGATCAAATACTATATTTCTAAAAAAATATAGTATTAGGCGAAACTACTATATATTGTTTAAAGCATATTTTTGACAGTAAAAGCTTTTTAAAAATTATTATTATATTAAAAGTAAGGCAAAGAGCAGAAAAAATATATTTATTTAAAAGTAAATATTTAAACCACATACTATTTTTTTTTTTCAATTTTTTTGCCAGCTATTATAATTTTAAAAGTTACGCTTCGAAAATACTATATTTGATAGAAAAAAAGTTGGTAACCCTAGGGCTGACAGATCGGGAATCGTCTGGATTCTTTCGAAATTTTATGTAATCTCCAGAAATCCAGACTCCCAACTAATTACGAAATCTCCCGACAAACGAACCTGACGATGCACTTTTCGTTTACTCTGTGCTGCAATCTATTTGAAAAAAGTACACGAGATGAAGGCTTCATGCACTGTCCGCGTCTAACTTAAGTCGGATGTGAGACCTCCGGCGAGGAGGTAGGGAGAGAGAGGGAGGTTAATTCACCCGACAACAATCCCAAAATCCCGACATTTTAAAATGTTACCAGAAATGTTGACTTCTCGATTTAGCAACCCTAGTTGAAAGCTGGAGTTTTTGAATCCAGAGTCGAGTTGTATGCCATGGGAACTTATATGGTATGACAGCAAACGAGTCCTTCTTTGCAGTGAATGCACAAACTCGTGTTTTGATAGGGTTGAACGAGACGAGGTTATGACTTCCTTCTTTGGAGACTCTCTTAAGAGAATCCTCTACTTCGGATATAAGTTTAGTCCACCATTCCAAAACTCCACCTCTAGGGTTATTTGGGTGACCGGTATACTGCTGGTCACACGTGTAATCTGCAAACCAATGCATGCCGGAAACTAAAAGCATGTCACTCATATACAGGTAGAACAGCATTGGCTTTAATGCTCCTGCTGTCCAAGAAGCTGGATATCTAGTTGCAAAGCCCCTCAGGTAGGTAAGACAGTAACTACGCATTGGCCATATCCAGGATCACTGCAAGGGCCTTGCTCACCCTTGCTCTCGACGGCTTCAGTCCAACAGTGAGTGAGACAAACGATAAGGTCACCAGCCGAACGATCGTGACGGAAACCGTATTGTCTGCCGCTAATTACCTGATGCACCTCAAGATACCTCAAAAGCCAGTTCTTGGTCACGCGCTCTATCACCTTAGGGAGCCATGATGTGATCGTTATAGGCCTGTAATTTTTAGGGTCAGATTGGTCGCCCTTTTTGAGCGTTCCATAAAGCTGTAACAGAGATATTTTTTGTAGAAAAGGAAGGAGGTATGCTCGGGGTCGCATTCTTGAGTAGCAGGGATGCCGTCAAGCCCACACGACTTGTGATAAGAGCATGAAATACCGAAAGTATTTTGTAATGGCGGTATTTTTTCAGTATTGTAATTTTTAATACCGCTAAACACAGTATTTCGATATTTTTTCGGTGTTCATAGAAAAAATCCGAATATTTTAAACAGGGTGTTGTAGATTTTATAAATTCACATATTTCATATAATATCGATAATATTTATTAGAATTCTGCTGAGCCATCTATTCAAGTTAGTTTTGATAGTCATGTCTCGCTATTAGGCTTTAGTCCAGTCATTATATACATTTGGAAATGCAAATGAACCGAGAAAGCCAAATTTTGGATATTACGTGGGGGGTGGCTAGAAAAGCTTAAGTTCAAATTGTCGACCAAAAAAACCTTGTGGGTTTTCCGCCATCTTGAAAAAAGGGTTAACCTCAGTTTTTTTATCATAATTCGGTTCCCCGTCGAGATACGAAAATTTTTATGGAATACTTTTTTGTTGCTCTTTGTACGATCTACAATTAAGGTCCTACACATTTTTCGCGTATCGACCATCGTTATCGAGATATCGATAAAAAAAGCCACAAATTTTGGGAGAAATTTATTTTTTTCGCTATTTCCTTCTTTCTCGCGAAAAATATCGAAAAATGTTTCGAATAAAACTTGTAGAGCCTGTTCAGACCTACAAATTCGTTTTTTAATTTTTCATTTTCGAGAAAAATTACGACCTCCAGCGCGCCGCAAAGTGAGTAAGACTGTGCCCGGTTTCGATTTAGCCGCTCGCACGGTTGTATCCACAACGTAAAAATTGATGAATTATTGGTTAAGGGATTTATTGCTATACAAAATAAATGAATAATCCAGCCAAATTATAAATCAAACACATGAAATTTATTGATCAAAAAATGTTTATGCAGCAAAAATAATAATCTTACACGTGGTCATTTTTGTCACACGTTTTTCTTCGTTTTGATGGTCCTGGCTGCTGTTGAAGTTCCTCCTCGGTACACTTTGAAGTATTGGCAATACAATAATAATCAAAAATTAGATTTATTTGTAAATTTTTCTTACTAAAAAATGTTTCTCACGCTAAGCAGCCTTAATTAAAAATACTCTAGTAATTTTAGGTTTAATTTAAACAAAAATCCCAAAACGAAAATGAAAAGGTAACACTGTTCATTTCGTCAATTTGAGGTTAAAATTTCGAACAATTATCTGTCAAATTCAACTTTTAGTTCAAAAGTTTTGTGAATTAGAGTAGGCTTAGAGAATTTAAACGTCAAACTATTTTCGGACGAACGAATTTTCGAAATGAAATAGAAACAGAGTAAGGAACGTGCGATATTTCGATCGAAATTTCGTTTTTCGTTGAAATAGAGTAGGCCTCCTGACCCATGCCGACACTCCAACCGTCGCACGTCCGCCATGGCGCGACGCACATTCCGGCGTCGGGCGCATTGGCGCCGACTTTGCGGCGCGCTGGAGGTCGTAATTTTTCTCGAAAATGAAAAATTAAAAAACGAATTTGTAGGTCTGAACAGGCTCTACAAGTTTTATTCGAAACATTTTTCGATATTTTTCGCGAGAAAGAAGGAAATAGCGAAGAAAATAAATTTCTCCCAAAATTTGTGGCTTTTTTTATCGATATCTCGATAACGATGGTCGATACGCGAAAAATGTGTAGGACCTTAATTGTAGATCGTACAAAGAGCAACAAAAAAGTATTCCATAAAAATTTTCGTATCTCGACGGGGAACCGAGTTATGATAAAAAAACTGAGTTTAACCCTTTTTTCAAGATGGCGGAAAACCCACAAGGTTTTTTTGGTCGACAATTTGAACTTAAACTTTTCTAGCCACCCCCCACGTAATATCCAAAATTTGGCTTTCTCGGTTCATTTGCATTTCTAACCCGATTTTTCCGACGTAATGACTGGACTACTTAATGCACAGATAGATCGAAATAGATACTTCGCGTGCCAAAAACATGTCAAAAGGGTGACCAATAGTCCGTCCTCCTTTAACGCAATTTAATTTTTTGCGTCACCGTTCTGGGCATTGAACCCTATAGCAAATTTAAACAAAATATCTAATTATGCCAAATTAAGTTGTAAAAACTATAGTAGTGAAGTGGATGGCTGGGGTCCATGCTTATCCGCAGCCCAATGTGTTAAAATATGACACGCTCGGTTATCATACAAGTTGAAGCACATGAGCCATCCTTTAGTTTTAAGTTAGTTTTTAATTTTGTTTTTTATGTTAATGTTTATGTGTTCTTTCATTGTTGTTGTAATACTCGTGTAACAATTAATGGTTAATAAAAAAAATCTCTCTCTATTAAATCCAGGTCTGTGGTTCGATGACTTACAGAGTACAGAATAATCCGGATTTCGAAATTTTCAGCGCTATAGATCACATCTACATGCTGCGGCAGGTTATACAAAAAGCAATAGAATATAAACTGCCACTATGCTTAACTTTTGTTTTGTATGGGTAAACCTCTGACTCGGTGGAAACTTGGGCAGTATTAGCTCTACAGCGGCGTTCCTCTATCGTGGCGATCGATCGACCGTCGTCGGTCCCTGACAATACTCCTACCTTTGCGACCGAGCGTCGGTGTCGCGTTGTGTCGCGCGACGTCGCGATGTCGTGCCGTGTCGTGACCACTCATTAATTTCATTCTTGTTGCTATCCCTATATCAATTCATATATCAATGTGTAGGCGAAAGCATAGGCTAGCTAGCAAGTCTCTGAATAAGTTGACTGTCATACGAAATTTTTGTACTGTTTTCTGTGGAAATCAGACTTTCGCCGTTCCGTGTTGCGTCAAAATCGTCCGCTCTAATTGTTAATGGTAGGTATAGTGTAAAATAAAAGTGTGGGAGTATAGTATTCTATAGTTTTATTTTTAAAGTTACACTATTATGTACAAATAACCAAAAACACTGGACATAACATTTTATATTTTTACCGTACCGTACCTGAGTTTACCGTAACGTAAGTAAGCCAGCCTCCCGGAAGTGCGGCACGCACAGGTGGGAACGGCGCATAACGTTTGCTCTTGAGAGGTTCGTTTTGCTACATCCAAGTGCCGATTTTCATCACGAAACCTTCGATTTGCCGATGATTGGTATTTATTTATTACTTATTGGAAATTGGTATAAAGTTGTTATGGTAGAAACTTTGGAAAATCGCACCACAATGCTCAACAACCTCAGCAGAGTCTCTCAATAGGTGGGCTTTTGAATAGATGAAGAGCAAGTCAAACATTGTATCAAGAAGATCATGTTTCGGCTGTACATAGTTAATCACAGATTGTACAGAATAATCGTTGAGAATTCTGTATGAGAAATAAATATACCTAGGACAAATAGTCCAGTTGGGTAAGTTCAGTTTCGAGGACGAGGGATACCAGCAGCTTCACAGTGTTCACGAAACTTGGCGATGTCTTCTCATCCGAACTACCTCAGTGTCTAAGACCAATGTCTTCAATCAATGCGTGTTGCCAGTGAGGTTACTGACATTGGGCCTCATAAGAAGGCTCAGAGTCTCACAGCTAGAGAGTTATGATCGGTGTTTTTCCGCGTGGTCGAATAAAGAGTCAGAAAAACCAGTAGAAGAACTAGAGTATCCGACGTAACTCAACGCGTAACAAAGCTGAAGTTGTAAGAACACAGTTTTGGTGGGTGAATGAACATAGAGGTCCCCAAATGCCTCAATGGCAATCTCACTTTGGGCACAGCACTAGTCTACTAACGTTGCGCTTTATCGCAACTTCATTTATTTCGCGACGAAATGGCAGGACCAATGTGTAAATTTCAAGGGACAGGCGGGACTTCCATCGACTGATGATGATGATGTTTCCAAGCACATCACTATAATTTCAGGATCTTAATAAAATTCTAAGAATGATCAACAATCAACCAACATTGTATTATGTAAAAATTGTTTAGAGAACATAAATATATGTGAATTAGCCTCAGCCAGCTTTGTCGATGCCGTAAAAAACACAAGGCATATTTCAGCTATCAACTTATTTTTTCAAAATTTACCCCTCGATTGCATCCATTTCATCATAAGAAAGCACCATATCGTTGCGTATTATTGTATGATTATTACTAGCAGCAGTATCACTGTGTCCTGCGATATTGTCTTCAGTAATAATTTTAGTTACGAAGTCACAGGATTGTGAAGGAATTGGTAAATAAATATACTCGAAAGACGTCTTTGAAAATATAAGTATAAATAATACCGAGAAACCGGTAATTAAAAACGTAATAGCGGTTTTGGATATCGCCATTTTAGCCCGGTATTTCCGGTATCCATGCTCTACTTGTGATTGTGAACGTTTAACTTTAAAAGAAGTTTTCCGCCCACTGAGTGATGCGTATTTCTGGCATGGAATTTCCACAATGGGGAATTATTGAAGACCTAGCTACCATATCGTCCAAGGTCGAGCTGGAGGCGAAGAGTTTGACCAGTAGGACGGCCTTGTCCTTCGCACTGAGGGCCAAACCGCTATCAGGTTTACATAGCGGTGGAATGGAAACTCGAAAAAAGTTGACTTCGGCAGCTTTGGCAAGCGACCAAAAGGCATGGCTCCTGGAGAAAATTCAAATTTCGCATTGTTCCCCGTGAATATTTTTCTTGTAAAATTTTGCTTTCGACATTAAAAGTGTCTGGCAATGAATACTGCGGACAGAATGTGTCTGGCAGTATTAATTTCAAGCTGTTTACAATATTCTCTACAACATATGTAAGAATCAGTCCCCAGACTGTAAGTAAAGTGAGTACACACGTCACACCTCCGAGTACGCAGGCCGCGCAGTGGGTGACCGTGCGATGCTGCACTGCGGGCCGCGATGCTGCTCTGCGGGCCTCGATGATGCTCTGCGCACGGCGCAGCCAGCAGGGCAACTGTGCGCGCTGGAGGTATCTCGCCCTAACCGGGGCTCTGTATAGTGCCATCAACCGTATCACATCGTGATACAGTCGACGGCATGCCCCCCCCCTCTCCCCAAATTGGCAAGTACCCTTCCGAGTGCGGCTGCAGCGGCACACAACCGTGGAGCGAGGAGCTCAAAATGCTCCTTAAAACTCCATCGGGGATCTAGCACCAGGCTTAGGTAATTAGGCTTCCCTCGACTGGCATTCGGACCCCCTCCACTCGGATACAGAGCCCCGCTGGAATCCTGCGGCGTGGGCCATAGAACAACATGGCTCTCGTTTTATCGAGTGCCAC